ATATCCCTCTAATAGTATAGGTTGTGTGATATCAAAGCTCTTTTGCACAGGTGGATACACTACTGGCACGTTACTGTGGGTCGTTTGCATCAGAGTCTGTAAAACAGCACAGTGATGCATCTTCATTCCCAGAACTATGTTTTTTCTTTTGTGGTAGGAAAAACATAGCAATATTAAAAAATCCCAAAACTTTTTAGCATCAACCAAAACCCAGAGGTTGAAATTAGCGTCTCTTACCCCAGATGGGCAGGTCATCGATGTACATCTGATACCAGTAGTGGTTCTTTATGGCGTAAACAAAGGCATCCTGTTTGGGTTTATCTAAGTCAATTTCACAGTATGTGTTCTGCATGACTTCCTCTGCAGAGATAATGGGACAAAACATTTTGAATTAGGTGCCGTAAAATGTGAAACATATATACATACATTAACGGTTTTACTCATGCGTTTGGGCCAAACAAAGCAGAAAACCTTTGAACTTGATGTCCAGGCCACTGAACTCCAGCTCCACCCCCTGCAGAGCCTCTCCGAGGGTCTCATGGTAATGACTGATGGTCTTCTTGGAGCCCGCGCAAAAGGGCAAAGAGAAATACTTGTATGTCTCCTGTCGATTGTGGTAAGGCCCCACTGTGTTCATCCATAAAACAACTTCCTCCTTATCTGTGTACTACAAAGGGAAAATAAAGGGATTTATTCAGAGCAGTTCAAGAATGCGACACTTGTTCTGCAGGTCCATCGGGTTTCTGAATATACAGTCCAGAGCCATAATTACCTTTAGGTACAGTTTTATATCAGTGGCAACTCAGCAGACTGTGATAGTGAGGTTTAAATAAAAATAGGGAAACCATTAAAGCGTAAAGTATTCATCAGTAAGTTACCGACATCAAGGCATGACGGGGTTTTTTAAAAGTGTTTCAAAACTGCACAAAAGTGAAATCTTTTTATTGAGATGCCAACCTGATAGATCTGTCACAATAACAAATTTTGCTGAACAATAAATTGCCCCAGAAGTTATTGCGGTAAACAATAATATTTCAAGTAATATAATGCAAATGGTATATTATACAAGAACACATTCTCAAAGGTCAATAAACTGTAAATTCTAATGAACATTTAACACTAGAACCGGAAGACATTTTAAATATCCAAAATAAATAAAACAACAGAAACAACAAATAAAATGAATTATGAAGTATCCATAAACAAAACTAGCTTTCAAAAAAGGTCTAGTTGATTCCAAAACAGCAGACTGAAGACTTTTATGATCCAGTTTTTGGTGTAAAAAAAGAGAAAATTGACAAATCATGCAAATGGAAATTATTGAGTTTGTTTTAATTTATCATGCAATTAATTGATTTATTGCAACAAGCCTACAACCTGCTTTTCTATACAATGCAGATCTGAAGAGTGAGTAGCTGATGTCTCCAAAAATAAACACCTTTTATTTGCTATTGAAAGTTATAGGTCTAATATTTTCAAATGCAAATTCAACACACAAAAATTAGTATTTATTCTTCTCAATACCTACTACAAAACAGCCAAAGTTAATTGCTAAACTATGTTTAATTTACCTGAAGATGAGAATAAATCTTGAAAAACAACCCAACTTTTCTAGAATCTTTATTCTGAAATATTAGCCCAGATCAGGATCACATTCCATCCAAAACGGAAAATGATTTATAGATTCATTTCAGAGTTTAAAAATGTTTAATTTCAAAATGAATCTAAGCTGAATGTTTTTTGTTTTTTTTTATTTAAGGCAGAAATACTCCTTTGTAATTATGTAAATGTCTTATTCTACAGTAACGAAGATAACATTTGGACTCAAAGTAGGATTACTACATGTCAATTAACTTATGTTTCCCATCATACTCTAGTAGAAGTACAACACGTTAATTTAAATTCGTGATATATTTTGGATTGATTCTACAACAGATGTATTCAAATTTGAATGCAAACTAATGAAAATACACCAGTTATCACTTTCAGGTACACCTGTCCAGAAAGCGATATGCGGTGGCTGCGTTTGCTTACGTTCAAGGAAGTGAACTTCCACGTTGTATCAGTCTGCTCATCCCACTGCTCTCATACCTACAGCAGGTTATTTTTTATTCAGACTGATCAATGAGTCCAAGACCTGCTCAACTCTTCTAGATAGTATCTGACTGCAATCAAACGTATAACAGAGTGAATACCAACAGGCCTCAACGTTTCCCCGGTGTTCCAGCTTAGCCTATTTACGGTTCTACTTCTGTTTTAAGGCTAAATGTACTTTTAATGTACTCAACTGACTAATGGAAGCCTCTTGGTGCCATACGAACAAATTCCACCGGTGCTAAAGGAAAGCTAGTGTGGAGCCGTTGTGAAAAGCTAACAGTTAGCATGAGTGGTTAGGCCGATTAAGGGTTGCATGTTAGCTGGCTAATTGAATGCTTATCTGTTCAATAGCACAACAAGTATCGATTTATTACTCAACAGACTAAAGTTATACACCCTAGTATGTGTGCGATCACGTTTCTTGAACCGCAGCAAGCAGCTTCCCCACAGCACAAACGTCCATTATTTTTCAACGATCCCCCCCTCTCTCAGTCGGCCTCATTTAAACGCCGTCTTACCGTGTGTTCATGCTCATCCGCGTCAACAGGTAATAAAGAGCCCATTACTGCAAGGAAAGCCGCCACTGCCAACTTCCACCGGGAAGAACCCATTATTTTTTGGTGAAAGTATGCAGAAAGATTGGGGTTGTTAGCTACGTTGGGCTAATATCCCACCTTCTTCCTGGTTGTATGACAGAGGCAGTTTTCAGTGATGCTCTCTGAACACTCTCACCAAACCTACACTGGATTGGTCGAGAAGTGTCACGTGGTGCTCGGCGTCCAATCAGTGCAGAAAGCGATGGCTCCAGCGGTGGTTGGAGGAACTCTGTCGGCGCATCTTCCGCAGGCTTCAGCCACGTCATCCCGACTGCCAAGACCAGAGCTTCACCTCTGAAGACCCGAGCACGCGTGGACGGTGCGGGGGTTTATCATAAAATAACACTTTTAAATTGTTCTCAATGGCCTAAGGCTGTCACCCTGTTTGCTATTCTTAAAGTGACACATTTGTGGAGTATACCTAAAAGTACGGAAGAGGATAAGGGCCATTGAAAAAAAATAATTCTGACTTTAATCACAGAATTCTGGCATTAAAGTCAGAATATTGAGAAAAAAAGTAACCATTCTGAAATTAAGGTTAAAATTCTGAGATTAAAATCAAAATTTTGAGATTAAAGTCAGAATTCTAACTTTTTTAAAAACTTTATTTCAAACAACATGAACATACATTCACCTGTTAATTCAAAGACAAATATTAAAATATTATTTAAAAAAAACAAATAAAGAATAATTACAGACATTGAGGGTGTTCAGTTTACTAAACAGATGATTTGGGAAAATATTCCACATGGAATTTTGATTTTTTTAGAAATCTTTTAATCCAATTAATTTTTAACATTTGATTAAAAATAGTAAAAGTCAAAACATTTAAACCTCTTTCAGGTAAAGAGTTTGACAGAACAGATTTTTTTATTTTATGGGCCTTATTTTTCCATACAAACTTGAAGAGAATTTTATCCAGATTACTAACAACAATTTACTAACATCTAATGATGCGAAAAGATAAGACGCCCTTGACATTCCTTCTGTTTTGCTTAATAGTACTCTAGTATAAATAGTTAAATCCCTATCTAACAACTGTTACATTTCTTTTTAATAGATTCACAATCAGGAGTAAAATTAATACCCATGTTATTGTGGTGGAGATTTTAATTCCTAGGTAAGTTACAGTGTTTTTTAAAGGGATATTACACAGTAATAGCTGTTGTCTATAAAGGAAGGATTTCACATTTTTTGAGATTGAGTTTCAATCCTGAAATGCTTGAGAGTTTAGCTATAACAGACAGAGCAACAGGAATTTCATTAGAATTGTAGTATGATCAGCAAGTTGTGAAATTTTAGGTTCTTGATCAAATATTTTAATTCCCTCAAATGAGCTCTGTCTGATTAAATAATTTAGAATTTGGTCAACAAGCAGAAAAATGTGAGGGGATGGGAGACGTCTCTTACAAACCCCTTTATTGATTTTAAATCAATAAATGTGCCATATAGAAGTTTTATAGATCTATTATCTCTATAAAGTGTCTTAAAGGCTTTAATGAAAAACATACCAACGTTTAAAAAAAGACAATGTGTCATAAATAAAGTTGTGACTAACTGTATCAAAGACCTTTTGATAATCTAAAAACTAGTCATTATTTAATAGAGTGATGCCACGCCAATTATCTATTATTAAATGGTCTTTATTTGGTTTAGGATCAGAGTGATAAGACTCTGTTTCACTGATGGAGGTAGTTCTTTTTTAATAGATTCATTATTAACTGCAAGAAGAAATTCTGAAGTTTTAGTCGAGAATTTGTGACAAAATTCTGATGTCAAACCATCACTGCCTGGTGACAATGACTTAAGGTGACTGATGCCCCATTTTATCTCCTCAATATGGAGTATTTAATCACAATCCTCTTTTAAAGAGTCATTAGCTTTGTTCACTTCTACAAAAGAGTGTAATACATCTGTGCAGTTATGAAGATGTTGATAAAAATTTTATATATATTTTGAAATTACTGAATAATCTTCTGTTACAAAATTATTTATATTTAATTTGGACAAAGATTTTCTTTCAAAGCTTCTTTTTTCCATCTTAAAAAAGTATTTTGCCATTTTTTTCACCCTCAATCCTTTTTAATCTAAACCAAATAAAAGCACCACATGCTTTTTCTTGATGTTTCTGTAGTTGTGTTACAAAAACATCATCATCTAACATGTTAGTACTAATGTCCATTATTGCAAAGAAATGCACATTCTTTTGGTTGTGACAGCTTGGAGCTTCCAATCATTTAACAATTATCAGTATAATCCCAACAAATGGGTTTTTCAGGTTCTGCAACATGAAACAAACACCTGACAGACAGAGCGAGGTCAATGTTTATTTATTTGCTCAGCTGCTATTTGACCTGGAGCCTGATTGTGTGTAGGTCGTCTCCTGCGACTGTTTTATCCAGGAGTTTAGATCCTCATCCCCAACATCAGTTCTTCTGACTCACATTTCAAAGTAGTCCTTAGTAATGTGTGTATGTGGGAAATTAGAAGAAAAAATAAAAAATATAAAATACTCATGATACCAACTGGTAACTTAAAGAGCATATTGATGAATTATTTGTTCATAAATATTGTCTATAATGAGGACTGTGTAGTACCACACCTATTTGGGACTTTTCTGGAGATAGATGTATGACCTTAAGAAACCTGGAAGAAATTATAGAGGGGTCAGAATAATTGTTGCATTTTATAATAAAAACAAGAACCAGCTCCTGTGTCAGGAGTGAGAGGCTTTCTGGGTTGCAGACTTTTTTGGAGCCCAAACTACAAAAATATTTTTACATTTAAAACTCCAAATACTGCATCTGGAAAGTATTTACAGTAATCCACTGTTTTTTTTTTTACTGTGGAAATTGTATTAAATTAATCTCTTACCTCAAAATTCTACACATTATGACAATGCTGAAAAAAATGCTTTTGTGTGTTTTGTGAAATTATTAAATTAGAAAACAAATGAATCATATTTAAATGAATATTCACAGCCTTTGTTTAATTAGCACAACCATTGGCACTCATTGGTCGCCATCTCTAAAAGCAGGCAAAACATGATTTATTTATTTATTATTTTAGAACAATCTAAACAGGTCAGGATATTTAGAGAATTGGAAATAATTAGTTGTTTTATAGTGTATAACGTACTGCAGCTACATAGTCTTACAGCTTGGAGGAAGGAGACAGAACCCAGCCTTCATTTTCTCTTCTTCCAGGTGAGAAAGAAGTCTGTTTGATTTACCATTCTGATTACATAATAAGCATAAAGCATTGTTTCATTGTTAGCTTTGTGTTTTAATTCACTTTTAGACATAACTTCATTTTTCATATGCTATTTTGATTAAGTCAGGTTTAGTCTTCAGCAAAGGTCTGGATTAATAATCACAGTTTTTTAAAGTGATTATTGTTATTGTTATTTGTTGACAGTTCTTTCTTCCAATAAAGGATAAAGCTATTTTTTATTCATTCTTGTGATTACAAAATGGAGAATGGTTCATTTTGATGTCACCCCAAGAAAATGAAAAGGCTTTGTGACATGTGCAAGTAGTCCTACAATAGAAATTAGCATTTTTATTTGACCAGATTCTCTTTTATGAGGTGAAAAAAAAAGCATTTGACAGTTTTGGATGCAAATGGCTAAATTGTGCCAAGATGCCAGCTACCATAAAACCTGTGTGGAGCAAATGCTTCAACTGATTCAGTCCCACTTTGCTGCAGTTATTTTCAAGGTGTGAATTTTAAAATCTGAGGATATTCCTGGGTCCTCTCTATAGAACTCATTAGATTTTCAACTGTTAAGGGGGAAAACAGATGGGGGCTCGTTTTGTTTATTTTAGTATAATTTTGCTAATAATGTGGTAGTTGTGGGCAGAGTTTTTAGGAAAGAGATTAATTGCAGAGTGCTGAGAATAGCTTATGTATATACAAACTCACATTCTCATACTCACCAAATGAGGACTTTGATCAGGCAGCCAAGCAAAACAACTCCTAATGCTGACACAAGTGAAGTCTTGACTGGATTACTCATGATTCCTGGGAATATAAGATGTGGAAAAAAACAAAGACATGCAAGATATTTTTAGAGTTCATATATTTCATCCCCCATCACTTTATAGCCACAGATTTATAAAATAAAGTAGCGCATAACTAGAAAAATTGAGGAAAAAGAACATTTTCAGTGAAATAGCAGAGTACCTGTTCTTTCAGAATGTTCTTCCACACTCCCTGAAAGGAAAAACAAAGACTGAATCAGTCAGACTGTTTAAGTCTGCTTTTACTGTAGCATTCAGGCACACTAACCACCTTCGATGTTTCTCTGATTACTTCTTTCTGAACTTCTCAGAAGAACCTCTGGGGATTTCTGATTACCAAGATTGTTGGTGGCCATGCAGTAATAAATCCCCTCCTCAGTGATATTGAGTCCATAAACTTCTCCTTCAGCTACTTGCATGGTTCCATTTGTGCTGTTCCTGAACCAGGTGAAGAGGCTGACGGGAGGGTTGGCTCTGCTGGAGCATGTCATGATCACCCCACCATCTTCGGTCAAATTGATGGAAGCTGAAGTGTTTTTGGGAGCATCTGTGGAAAATGTGACACACGCTCAGTTTACTGATGAGAACCAGCCGATGTTCTGACCGGGTCACTTACAGAGAACACTGAGGATCATTTCTGCCTTTGCAAACTTGTGTTTTCCTCCATCCACAGGATATCTCACAAAGCAGGTGATGTTGAATCCATTATGTTCGTCTGACAGCACGATGTTCTTCTGGATTTTAGCTGTAAGCGTTCCGTCTCTGTTCTTCCCCATCAGACTGCGGTGGTCTGGTTCGAGGTTCCAGGTGACTTTAGGAGGTGATTGTGGACAGGGAGCGAGAGCTGAGCACGTTATAAGGACGGAGGACATCTCCTTCATGTCACCTGAGCTTTCAATCCTGGGTCTCCAAGCAGATTCTGTATTTTCACATCACACAGACATTTCTCAAAGTGAAATACAGCAGAATTACTCGACATGTGGAGCATAAAAAGATGGAGGATGATTAAAAATGAAGAACACATTGAAAAATTAAATTAGGTAAAACAGTCACTTTGTGTTGACAAACTTTAACTGTGGTCCTATTGATGATCCTACAGCAGATGTTTAACTTTACATTATATGCATTTCCATTGTGCATACAACTGTGCAATTTGATATTTTGAAAATAAACGTGCTTAATGGAAACACAACAATTTTAAATAAACAAACTTTCATTTTTCGATAAAAAGCTTTGGGGCTAAGTTGAGGTGGATTGTTTGACCATATCATAATTTGTTTATTTTGAACAACACTGTATCAGGGCTGCAAGAGACAGAAAGAAAAGAAGTAAATTTCAGCCAAAAAAATTGAATGAATGTCAAACATTTTCTAGAAAAAAACTTGTACATTTCTGAGTTTCAAAAGGTGACTTTCTTTTTCTCATGAAACTCAGAAATGTTTTAAAAAGTCAGAGTTTTAACTTTCAAAACTCAAAAGAAATTTGTAAGTTCGATATTAATCTGAAAATGTATGAGTTTTTTTGGTGGAAATTTATTCCCTTCGATAATGGCTCTAATACTAAATTGTAATTTCACAAAACTGCAACAGAAGCACTTTTTTCTCACATGATCGACAATGTTGCCGCTGACACAAGTCACAAATTAGAAGACGACAGGAAGTAGTAGAAAGGTGATGGCGTGGCAAGATTTTTAATAAAATATCACGGGAACAAACTTATTCACGTTTGATTTAAATTTAATTTCTTATTTAATGACAACACTCCAAAAAATTGACAAATTTATATGCATATTTGTAATGGAAACTCCTTAAGACTTATTAATGGAGTTTGTTGTTTTACACAAAAAATGCTTCATAATTAATTTAGTCTTCAACATTAATATTAGAGATAAATAAAAAGAAAATGCTCTCACCTCTAACGTTTACATTAACAGGCTTACAAAGAGCGCTTAGTTTGTACGGCCCATTCTCAATCCTGAAGAAGTATTTGTCTGCTTGCTCTGACTTTATGTTATGAAACACGGTGGTGCAGTTCTTCTCCCTCAAGTTTCCAGTAATGACCATGTCATATTTATTTTTCTGCTGACTGCTGTTGTAAACAACGTTTTTCGGACTGTTGAGAATCGAGCCTCCAGGTTTTAACCAAACTCCAAATGTTTTTCTCCGAGAATCAAACTTATGAAATGGTTTCACTGTAAAGCTGCAAGGGATTTGCAAACAGGCTCCACTCAGTGCCTCGATCTGTCTCGGTGCAGTAAAGAAGAGACCTTTGTCCTCTTCACATCTAGTCGGTCTTCCTGTAAAAGCAACATAAATATGAGGACAACGCAGAGCAAAGTGTGCCTGAAGAAAAACCTTCCTGATCCATAAAGTCCATCAGAGCTGCAGAGTCTTTAAACAAGAACAGGATCCGTTACTTGAGACTTTATGGTTCAACATCAGAAAACAAACAGCTCACCTGAAAGAAAGGACACACTCAGTAACAAGTTGACTGTCAGCACTGCCAGGATGTTCTCAGACAGGGCGGCCATCACGCTTCTAAGTCCCTCCATCAGCTCACAGAGACAACATGAAGGAAAAGTTCAGCTCAGATAACGGCCGATAATTACTTAAAATGTCAAATTATGTAAGAGGAATACAGTAGAGTACTAGAGCCAAAAACAGGAGTAAATTTCCACCACAACTGAGATTAATCTCTAGAAAAAACATTGGAAATTTCTGAATTTCCAAAAACTTAGATTTTTGGAAATTTTGTTTGAAAAGTTAACATTTTCATCTCTTCAAACCATGATTTTTTTCCCCCAGAAAGATTTGAGATCAATCTACAAATTTGAGGATTTTCTGAGGAATTTCTTTGACATTATCTCAGAGATTACTATTAATTACTTATTTTAATTTTTTAGAACATTTTTAGATTAAAAAAAAAAAGAAAATCTACTTTTTTCTACCCTAATACACTATCGTAGAGAAATGTTACATTTAAATTTCCTGACTCAAATGTATGAAAGAAAAAATAAAATAAAAACATCAAAGTTCTGGCATTAACAATAAATTAACAAACTTAGTATAAAACAATTAATCTTACTAAGGCTACGATCTTCCTCTGCTTATCAGCAAACCAAACTCACAACTACTCTGGTCAAAAGAGCTTCACTTCCTGCTTGCTTTGTTCAAAACAGGAAGTCATTGTTCTGTCGGGTCTTGAATTGTCCAGCTGTTTGTCTCCAGTCCAGAAGACTGACCTCACAACAGGCACATTAAGGCTCACAGTATTTATTCTAACAAGAGAAAATTCAAACTGGCAGTTAACGTCAGTCCAGCAGCTTCTGCCCCACGGTTACAAACAGCAATACAACTGCATTTGACATTAATGTAAATCCATATCACTAATCTTATCTTTGACATAAATACCAATTACTACATATGTATTTTTGTACAGGAAACATAACCACACATATAACACACATTTAACAGTCCAAGACCATCACATTATTAGTAACTTAAACATTACTTTGCACCAAAAGTTAAAACATACCTAACAAGAGAAAAAGTGAAGTTTAAAGTCAGTCCAGCAGCTTCTGCCCCTGCACAATAAATAAAAACACAATCAGTGACCCCAGACAGCTCCCACTGCAGATCAATGGTTACAAATGAACAGTTAGCAGGTGGCAGGTGTAAAATTAAACACAGTTAAAACGCACAACATTAATTATGAAAACAGTTAAAAACAGTTTCCATAATTAACAGTTTTTAAACACTGTGATCTAATTAAATCTGTCTAAAATGTATGTTAAGATGCAATATTTGTAAAGGAAACAACACATACCACAGATGGAAATGGCAACAGAAAACAGGGAGCTGACGGTTGGAGGTTGCTACGGTAACCAGCAATCACAACCAAAACATAACAAAAACTTGAATGTCTGGAGAAAATCACTTTTTAACGAACCAAAATTAATTGGAACCAATTTTGACAAACCCCCCAAAACTATAAATAAAACCCTGTTACACTGTACACTCCTGGATTTGTCACAATTACAAAACAAACTGGATGCAATAATAAAAAATGTAGAACATTTATAATGTGCAGCTTTTTTTATTTTTTCACAACGTGCAGCTTCATTTCCAGCTGATGTATTTTTACATTAGCCTCATAAAAAAATTGGGAAATTTCTGAGTTCCAAAAGTCGAATATTTTACATATTTGGGGTTTCAAATGTCGAAAATGTCTCTAGTGCCAGAATGTTTTCAAACCGTCTCATTTTTCATTTTAAAATAACTAAACCCACTCGGTTTGTCTTCTTGGGCCTCAGAGAGTAGGAACTTTTCACAGCATTAAAGTCAATAACATTTTAAAACATTAGAAATTAGGAAACAAATTTGACCACCAAACATCTTTTTTTTTTTTACTTTTTCCCCCATCATGAATAATGTCCGAAGCTTTTAATTAGAAATCAACATGGATCCATTGTTAAATAAAGTCCAAACACACATGAAATAAAATATCAAAACAAGAAAATAGCAACTTTTTTCCTCCGTTTTATTTTGATTCTCAAGCAAACTGACGAGCCACTTCCTGGATAGTCACGTGGTTCGGCCTAAACCGGCCGAACCACGTGACTCCACGTGCTCCATCCAAATCTATAGCTCCTCCTCCTGGATCAGACAGAAACACCTCACTGCTGCACGTCCAAGGACTGAAGAAAATGGTAAGAAAGAATAGTTTTCTGTTTTCTCAGTTTGACTCATTTTCTCAGAACGTGAAGCAGAGCTGATATTTTAAATCCACATTTTTCGTGCTCATTGTCAACCAGTATGAATACTACAATATGGTCTTGTTGATTTGAAAATGTTCAAAGCCTGAGAGGCCACACATTAGCCGACAGAAACAGGAGGTATAACGGTTCGATCGTGTGGTTGTGACGGTTGGAGAAGGAGTTAGCAATGGCGGTTAGCCACTCTAACCCAAAACAGCAGGACGCAATGTTGAAGTATTCCACACTTTCACTTTATTTCGCTTCGTCCATTTAAAGCCAGATCTCCATGGTACTAAGATTATACTCTCATATATGGGAAAAGTAACGACAGTTTACTCCTGTGCTCCTCTTCATCGCCGATCATCTCCTCTGCAAGAGTTCTCACTCTGCACAATAGTACAACAAAGGAAAAAGGGAATAAGCGCCCCCTTGTGGTGATACCTGCTCATCTCTAGGAACCAAGCAGTATAATGACTGTTACATGGTGTAAATAACGGCTACAAGTCCAGTTAACTAATTTTAAAACCAGGCATTAATCAATGCTTTACTGCAATGCATATGGCGAGTGTCAGTCCCGACTGAATGAAAATCATGATAACCTATTTATGTCACGTTAACAAAGAACAGCTGAAAAGTTACTGGGTTTACCAGGCCATATAGTATACAGACTTCATAATCTGCACAATTTTGGTTGAATGCAGTATTTATTTCCACTTTGGCTTTATATTGTTGAGTTTTTATCCAAGTACATTTTTTGTTGATGGAGACTGATAATCCATTTTATTTTTGTTTTTGGTTGTTTTATCAGTTCCAGTGTTGTGTTCTTTTGAAAATAAAGATTAGGCATGCATTATTACATCATTTCCATTAAATCAATGTAAAAAATGTCTTCAAACAATATTATCGTTTATCGCAATAATTTTTGAGACAATTAATCGCTCGACAAAATTTCGTTTTGTGACAGGCCTAGTTAGAACATTCTAAAAATGTATGTTTCTTTTCATTTTTTGTAGCATTGTTTGTTGGTTTTCAGGTGGGGGCCTTGGCCAGAAGCTAAGGCTGCTTGATTGTCTATGGCATGAAAAAGTTTGGGAACCCTTGGTTTAAAACCAAGCACCCCATGTGCTTGGTGACATTACTGCCACTTATGCTAACTGTTTAGGTCATTATCGGCAACACTAGCATCAGCAACGCCTCAAATGCGGTGCCTATTTAACGGGAAGAGTTTCCTGGCACTGATATGACAATCCATTCATCTTTCTGTTGTTAAAGACAAACATTTAGTAATTTAGACAGCATTTCTCCACCCTTTCACAGCCATATTTTTAGCAAATGTAAAAAAAATTTATTCAGCTTAGTCAGCTGATTTTATTGGCTCTGTGTTGATTACAAGATGTCTCTAAAGTAATTATTTTTCATGTTGCATTTTCTGTATTCCTTGTTTGGTTATGTAATGGTTTAGTTTCTCACTTTGATGCCAAATGACATGTTTGATTGGTGTTCAGACTGACGCTGGTTGTTGGGAGCCGGATCGCATCCAGTCGGTCTTATTGATGCCTCTAGACAAGACCACTGGAAGAGGAGATTCCTCCAACACCTTCATCGAAACCGTTTTTGGAAAGCACTCTCCTCGGACTGTCTTTGTGAACCCTGAGCCCACCATCATTGGTAAGTCTCAATACATGTGGAACAACTACTGAATAAAACAAATAAAATCAAGCATTTGAACATGTGTTTATAGAATAGCTTCTCCTTCAGCAGCTAACAGTGAGCTAAATTTACAGTTCAGTGTCCCACTCTGTCTAACTTCATGAAGTGCCCAGTGAATGTGTCTCCACACTGCCTCTTTAAAATCATTATATCAGTTAGAGATGTGATGGAGGTCTCCACTCAAAGATTTTATTGCCCAATAAATATTTTCTTAGTCTTTTTACTCTATCAGACGTCTTACCAGGGGCACATGGTGTTTAATGGTGAAATTATTCTTTCCAGTCCAGGACTTTTTATCTTCCAACGGCAATGGACCATTATAACACAAATATAAGCTTTACCATTTGTACAGAATGTTTTACTATATTTTTTGTGATGATCTCTTGTTTGATCAATTGTATCACTGTGCACAGCTTTCGTCAAGAAAACCCTTCCTATAATCAGAGTTCATCAAAAACCAGCTGATATTGCCTGTGCAGTTTCTTGAGTTACTTAAAGTGCAGTGTAAATACTTTCTCATATGCATAATATGTTTTAATGCAGATGTTAAGCAGATGCTGATGGTTAAAGAAGAAACAACAGAAGACCAAAAACCAAACGTGGACCTGCATGACCCAAAGTCCCACCACATAAAGGAGGAAGAGGAGAGAGTCTGTATCAGTCAGGGGGTAGAGCTGCGAAATGTAAAGGAGGAGATAGAAAGTGCCATAAAAAGTGATGATGAACAGTCCCATTTGCTCTCACAGCTTCATCAAGACCAAATTAAAGACAGAGAACCTCCAGAAGAAAACGATGGACGAGAATCCATCAAGACAGAAGATTATGGAGATGATTCCAACTTCTTAGAGTGTGAAGACACCAAGAAGCATGAAGAGGATGATGATGTAGAGCTGAAACACTTGTCAGACTCTGGACTGAAAACTAAAGGCATTGACAGAAATCCTGAGTCAGATGAAGAACTTAACAAACCAAATTCAGAAATAGGGTCTCAAGGCCTGATAGATATTAAGAATTATTTTACACAGAACAAAAACGGTGGCTCACAAAGGAAGATCAAAACAGGAGAGAAGTTTAGTTGTGAAGACTATGGCAAAACATTTATTAAAAAACAGAACTTAAAAATATACATGAGAATTCACACGGGACAGAAACCTTTCTGTTGTGACATATGTGGAAACAAATTTAGCCGAAAAGCACATTTAAACACACACATGAGAATCCACACAGGGCAGAAGCCCTTCGGTTGTGACATTTGTGGACGTAAATTTAGTGATAAATCACATAGCAATAGACACATGAGAATCCACACAGGACAGAAGCCTTTCTGTTGTGATCTTTGTGGACATAAATTTAACCAAAAACAACATTTAAACACACATATGTTAATCCACACAGGACAGAAACCCTTCTGTTGTGATCTGTGTGGACATAGATTTAATGATAAATCAAGTTTAAGCAAACACACAAAAATCCACACAGGACAGAAGCCTTTCTGTTGTGACTTATGTGGTAACAAATTTAACAGAAAAGCGCATTTAGACTCACACGTGAGAATCCACACAGGACAGAAACCCTTCTGTTGTGACATATGTGGACATAGATTTAGTGATAAATCAAGATTAAGCAAACACACAAAAATCCACACAGGACAGAAGCCTTTCTGTTGTGACTTATGTGGTAACAGATTTAACCGAAAAGCGCATTTAGACTCGCACGTGAGAATCCACACAGGACAGAAACCCTTCTGTTGTGACATATGTGGACATAAATTTAGCCGAAAAGCACATTTAAACACACACATGAGAATCCACACAGGGCAGAAGCCCTTCGGTTGTGACATTTGTGGACGTAAATTTAGTGATAAATCACATAGCAATAGACACATGAGAATCCACACAGGACAGAAAGCTTTCTGTTGTGATCTTTGTGGACATAAATTTAACCAAAAACAACATTTAAACACACATATGTTAAGCCACACAGAACAGAAACCCTTCTGTTGTGACATATGTGGACATAGATTTAATGATAAATCAAATTTAAGCAAACACACAAAAATCCACACAGGACAGAAGCCTTTCTGTTGTGACTTATGTGGTAACAAATTTAACCGAAAAGCACATTTAGACTCGCACGTGAGAATCCACACAGGACAGAAACCCTTCTGTTGTGACATATGTGGACATAGATTTAATGATAAATCAAGATTAAGCAAACACACAAAAATCCACACAGGACAGAAGCCTTTCTGTTGTGACTTATGTGGTAACAGATTTAACCGAAAAGCGCATTTAGACTCGCACGTGAGAATCCACACAGGACAGAAACCCTTCTGTTGTGACATATGTGGACATAGATTTAGTGATAAATCAAGATTAAGCAAACACACAAAAATCCACACAGGACAGAAGCCTTTCTGTTGTGACTTATGTGGTAACAGATTTAACCGAAAAGCGCATTTAGACTCGCACGTGAGAATCCACACAGGACAGAAACCCTTCTGTTGTGACATATGTGGACATAAATTTAGCCGAAAAGCACATTTAAACACACACATGAGAATCCACACAGGGCAGAAGCCCTTCGGTTGTGACATTTGTGGACGTAAATTTAGTGATAAATCACATAGCAATAGACACATGAGAATCCACACAGGACAGAAGCCTTTCTGTTGTGATCTCTGAGGACGCAGGTTTACTGAAAAATCTAATTTAACAAAACATGAGAATCCACAACGGACAGAAACCTTTCTGTTGTGATCTTTCTGGACATAGATTTCAACAAAAACATCATATTAACAAACACAAGGTAATCCACACAGGACAAAAGCCATTTTGTTGTGAAATCTGTGGACACAGTTTTATTGATGAATCAATTTTCAAAAAACACAGGAGAATCCACTGAGAAACCTTTCTGCTGTGACGTATGTGGACATAAATTTACTGATAAATAGACTCATGAGAATCCACACAAGACGGATACCTTTCTGTTGTGATGTCGTTGGAAATGTCGTGTGTGTTAATCTAGCTTTAACACACACATGAGAATCCACACAGGAGAAAAATCAGTTGTGTAACAGGTAGTTTATTATAACTTTTTCAGTCATCTTTTATCACATATTTAATCTACAGTGGTTTGCAAAAGTATTCATGCCCCTTAAACTTTTCCATATTTTGTCACATCACAACTACAAACAGATTTCTTTGGAATTTAATATGAAATACCAAAACACAGGGTTATACATTTGTGAAGTACAAAGAAAAGATGCGATTCAAAACATGTTCTATGTATCAAATACTGAAAAGTGCTATATGCAAGAGACCACTTTTCTCTGAGTGCAACTAATTGCCATCCATCTATTTTCTAATACCCTTCTCCCTAGTGGGGTTGGGAGGGATGCTGGTGCTTATCTCCAGCTCAACTAATTGCCACTTCCTGTGAAAATTCTTGTCAGTAAAAATATAGATACTCGGTGATACCTCAGAGTTTGATTAAGGGAATATTGGGGAACAATCAGCATCATGAACTTCCACGAACACACCAGACACATCAAGAAGAAAGTTGTGGAGACGTTTAGACTTGGACTATAAAAAGATTTCCCAAGCAGTGAACATGTCTTGGGGCACTGTTAAATCCATCATTCGAGTATGGCACAACTGCAAACTTCCGAAGACAAGGCTGTCCACTCAAACTTTCAGGCTTAACAAGAAGCGCGCTGATCAGAGATGCAGCCAAGAGGTGCTTGGAGACTCTGGACCAAAAGCAGAGATCCACAGCTCAAGTGGGGGAAAATGTTCACTGGGAAATTATTAGTCATCACTGCACAAAAATAGTCTTTATGGAAGAGTGGCAAGAATAAACACTGTTAAAAGAAAACCATAAAATGTCCCGTTTGCAGTTTGGCAGAAGCCGTATTGGCCAATAAACATGTGGAAGGAGCTTTGGTCAGACCAGGACTAAACTGAACAAAAATTGTAACAAAAGATGTTTCCACAAAATATTGAGTCATGATGGCTGAATATAATTGTACACTGCACTTTTCAGTTTTTTATGTTTGGAATCATACATAGTTTTCTTCCAGCTTCACAATTGTATACCACTTTGTGTTGAACTTCTCATAAAGTTAAATGTTTGGTTGTAATGTGACAAAATATGGAAAAGTTCAAAGGACATGAATACATTTGTAAGATCCTGTAACTGACTGCGAAGTATTTACGCTGGTCTATCTTATTCTTTATTTTTTAGGGGGTTATTGGGAAAGATGGTGTCATTGTCCATTTATTATTTTCATGATATTGATTTTTATTCTGTCTTTTCTGATGATTTTTAACGTATTTAGTGTTGAAGGAGTTTGAAATGTTAGCAGTAGCCTGCAGCCAATTTTGGGGGGGAATGTTTGTGGTTTGAAAATAATTCTTTATGGTTTGACTTTGTATTTAAATGTCTGTCTTTTGTTTTTCCAATACATGTCTGTGAGAGAATAGGAAAAGACCATCTGGTCAGGAAGAATGTAAAAACAATGTCTCTCTTTATTTGATTAGATTAATTCTGGAAAGTGTTGGAAATTTTATTCTGTGCTTTTTAACAGGGAGCTGATTTACTGTTCTGTCATGTTTCTATGGTGATTGAGTAATGTTTGAAAACTATATTAGAGAAATGTGTAATGTTATACTGCCTCCTCCTTACGATGGTTAGAGTTCGTTGGCATGTCAAAATACAAAACTTCATGGGGAAATCCAGGAGATGCCATCAAAAATGAAAAATATCAAAATAATACATAAAACTGTATCTTTCTTCTTGATTGATTATGTTTTGTTCTGTTTAGCTTGTTACATATGTTCTGATATTAAAATTTCTTTAATCATAACTAATAATCTCCTTGTTTTGCCTACATCTGGCCTCACCTGAAATAAGGAACCTGTTGTTAAGCCAGAGCAGAAAGGGCACAAAACATGCAAAACAGGCTTGGGGTAAAGAAAGAAACTGTAGCGACTATATTATGGAAATTAGATTTTAAATAAATAATTAAGGAATAGAAACATGGCCACAAACAAAGCAATGAAGATCAAGAAAATTTCCACATAATACAACAATCTGTAAAAACAAAGATCTGTGGGGAACAAAGCACAAGTGAAGATGTAATAATGAAAAGATTAAGAGTAGGTCTCGCTTAATTAATTACATTTTTACTTTAAGGAAAATTAATTGTAGCAAATGTGATGCTTGGTCTATATTATATTTTAGGGGTTATTTACGTAACTTTATTGACAATTTTTGTTTCTTTGTTTATTTACTATTCTAAGTTAGACAAGAACTGTCAATTTTCTTGGTTTGACAAACAATCCCCACTACAATTAATGTGTCCAAAGCTTTTTATTACCAGATATCAAAATGTTCCCAGGGAAATCTGGATCCATTGCTTTTAATATGCAACTGAAAGAGGATGAAGGAAGACATAAAGGAGAAAAGGGAAGAAAGCTGAGTCTGAAATGAATTTCATGAACAAAGGGGAAAGAAGAGAAAATCAGAATAATAAATTATTATTATTTACGCACAATACAAAACCCAAACTGAACATAACAGGTGGAGGATATGAAGTTACATACTGGTGTCCGATAGGTGGCGGTATGCACCTCTGAAGTGGTCTGCACTCTTCCAACAAGGAGAAGAAGAAGACGAAGGAAAAAGCAGCAGCAGAGAACTGTCCTGTGCAGCTGCACATTTATAAATATTCGCCTCCTCTTCGTGTATTCACGAAATAAAGAAAAATGGTAAGAATGTGTCTTGACATTTCTCAGAAGGTGAATCGGACACAGATTATATTTAACTTCCTTAATTCGCGCGCACATTTTGAACAAAAAAGATGACTCCGCCTTTCGGCAGGACGGGTTAGTTATATTGCCTGTTAGTCAATAACTACTTTAAAAAGACGATGATGTCAATAGTTACCATTAATAAACGGTGTAAGACGTGATAAGGTGACTGCACGTACTTGTGATGGAAAGTGGTTCTGCAACGGAATGTTTATAGAGGATAGGCAGCTGTGTTGGTGCCCGATTAAAAATACTGAAAACATTACACTACCTTTTGCATAGTGCTGTTGTATTTCCAGTTTATATTATATATTTTAAACAATACATTTTGTTGCTACATATGACAATTATGTTTTACGTCTCTGAGCAGCAATCAGTGCCACGCATCTCATTTTCTGTTGCATTTTTTCTCAGTGCGGGTAAGTTGCAGTTGGAATCAAAACACCTTTTGATCATGGAACCAAAAGATAAAGCGAGCAGCTATGAACTGAAGTCGGCATTTTAGGCTTTCTGTGAGCAGCATGTTTCAGGAAAAACTCCTCATTTGGCTATTAATCCAATCAGGCATCACTGCAAAGATCCCAACACGTGTTGCTCACAAAGTACCAGAAGTCTGAGCTGCATTGTTGAAACAAAACACACCAGCCTGTAAGAGCTGGTGTGATTCGCTGCACTTTTCTGTCAGTGTTTGGAGTCAGCATATGTTTTTCATCATGGAACCGAAAGAGAAGAGAAAGTCTCAGATGCAGCTGTGATTACTAGAGAAAAAGATTAAAAGGAACAGCAATTATGGTGTTAATTAACATTAATAAACAACAATAACTTGTTAGGACTCTAACTATACTTAATCTCACGTCTAGGTAGTGCAATTTCTCACTGAATCCATCCCAATCCTTACAAATTAAGAATTGGGATGCTCCCAATTCACTGTTTCCCATATCATTGTTATAAGATTAAAACAGATGAGTTAGAGGAAACCAAACAGGTAGAGAGAAAAACTAAAATGCAGCTGCGAAGTCAGAAAGACAACAAATTAGAGTGGCGGGTCAAGCTTCCGCAGACAAACTTAATAACCATTTATTTACTCCTTTGTACCTTAACCTCTAAATACAGAGACAAAGAAGAAAAAAATAAATCATTATATGCTTTAAGAGTGAAAAAATAAATTAACACCGATTAGAAAAAGGAATAAAAATAATTAGTTAAAAAATTAAACATGAATAAAATGCATCACTTAAAAAAGTGACATAAAAAATTAACAAAGGTAAAATAAATGCAATAGAAGTAATTGGCTAAAAAATAAACTACTGAATAAAAAAATAAGACTAGAAATAAAATGTAAAATTAAATGACTGATATTGTTAAATACAATGTCCCACTGGACAGTAAAAGAAAAAACTGATATTTTTTACATGAATGAATTATCTGCAACATTAATTAGTTTATCAACACATACATTTTAATTTTTATTGCCAATTTTGACAATTTCAGCCTTCATCTCCTCCTTCAGTAGATTTAAATATCACATTTCTTGCTGAATCGACCTCAGCTTCTCTTTCTATCGATGCCAAATTTCAACTGCGCCGCTTCCATCATTCCACAGCCACATTTTTTGCAAATATTCATAAATACTTAACATCAAGCAAGCTGATTTTATTAGCTAGAGGTTGATTACCAGATGTTTAGTTTCTAACTTTGATGCCAAATGACATGTTTGATTGGTGTTCAGACTGACGCTGGTTGTTGGGAGCCGGATCACATCCAGTCGGACTTATTGATGCCTCTAGACAAGACCTTTGGAAGAGAAGAGGATTCCTCCAACACGTTCTTAATCAAGACTGGTTGTGGAAATCACGTCCCTTGGTCTGTCTGTGTGAACCTGAAGCCCACTGTCATGGGTAAGTCTCAATACATGTAGTAAAGATACTGAATAAAGTAATCAACTATTTCAATTTGTTTATTAAAGTCAATATGATGTGTGGCTATTTGTTCTCCATCCCTTGCAAGATGAGGTGTGTCCATTGGGACCTACCAGCAGCTACATTGTATATTTACCCTTAAATACAAGCATAAATTTCCCCACATAAATACTTGACTTGAAATAACAAATATAATAAATTTTTAAAAAACAGTTTTGCCTTTGTGTTTTATCCAATGCATATCTGTGAATGAATAGGAATAAGCTGTTCCTCCTTCAGCAGCTAAAACATTTCAATCCTCAATCAGTGGTCAATGAGCTAAATTTACATTCAGTGTCCCACTCTGACTACCTTCATGAAGTCCTCAGTGGATGTGTGTGCAAAGTGCCTGACCGATATCTTCATAGCAGCCAGAGAAGTGACTGAAGTTCCCACTCTGGTTCAAAATAATGTGCGGATTCCCTGATGGTAATTCATAGGTGTAGTCGTTGGAGGCTAAGGATATTTTTTCAAGTATTTATTTCCACAATGTTAATAGTCCAGGCTGCAGTTTAGATTCTTTCTAAAATGCAAAATGTGTTTCAATGTTTCCTGCAGATGTTAAGCAAATGCTGAAGGTTAAAGATGAAGACACAGAAGACCAAAAACCTAATGCAGACCTGCATGACCCAAAACCCCAACACATAAAGGAGGAAGACGAGGAGGTCTGCATCAGCCTGAGGGGAGAGCTGTTCAAAGTGAAAGAGGAGATAGAAAGTGCCATAAAGAGTGAGGATGATGAACAGTCCCCTCTGCTCTCACAGCTTTACCAAGAGCAAATTATAGACAGAGAACCTCCAGAAGTAAAGAATGAAGGAGAATCCATCAAGGTAGAAGATTTTGAAGGTGGTTCCAGGTCCTTCAAACATGAAGACACTGTGAAGGATGAAGAGGATGGCAATGATTTAAAGTATCCCGACCCTGAGATAAAACACTTGTCAGACTCTGCCCCCCCTGCAATCACAGTCCATGTCCTTAGTTTTCAGTACAGAGCTCCTGAGTCAAATGGAGACATTGGTAGCAAACTCGATGCAGAAGTAGGTTTTGCAGAGAACAAAAATGGCTCACGAAGGAAGGCCCAGAAAGGACGGAAGGTGAACTGTGAAGTCTGTGGCAAAACATTTTTTGAAAAACGGAATTTAACCACTCACATGAGAATCCACACAGGAGAGAAACCTTTCTGTTGTAAAGTATGTGGACATAGATCGTGTCAAAAATCAAGTTTAAACAGACATATGATAATCCATACGGGACAGAAGCCTTTCTGTTGTGACCTCTGTGGACATAGATTTACCCTCAAGTCGAGCTTAAACAGACACATGGGAATCCACATGGGACAGAAGCCTTTTTCTTGTGATCTCTGTGGACACAAATGTAGCCAAAAAGTAAATTTAAACTCACACATGAGAATCCACACAGGACAGAAACCTTTCTGCTGTGATCTCTGTGGACATACATTTAGGCGCAAGTCACATTTAAACGCACACATGAAAATCCACAGTAGACAAAAAATAACTCCTTTATGATGACTCACACTGCAACGCCTCATGTTGTCATTTAAGGCAACAGTCTTCACTTTTAATCTCAAGATGTTTAATATCATTTACAGATTTGCTGAGAAACATTCAGCAAGGCACGTTTTTTTCTATCATATTAAATGTAATATCCAGACTGAGCTGTAGCAAAGGTGTGTTCTTAGCTCATGTGTTTCTCCACGGTACAAAAGGCAAAATGTTTGTGTGATACACAAGATGTCAACATTGAGTTAAAGGGAACCTACTGTATCTTCAGAATCTACTTTTTCATGTACATTGAGTGTCTAGGACTGCAAAAAGTTTTAATTGATTCTTTCCTGTGCTGCTTAGATATCTTTAAATTATTTTTGGATCATATTTTTCAGTCTGTTAACTTTTTTTTTTTATTCCTTATGTCTTCTTCCATATTTTTTGCATTGTTTTTGTAGTGCAAGTTCTGCTGTGTTGAAACTGCAAGTAGAGAAGTCAAAATGTTTGGTTCTAGCTTGTATGAACTCAAAAAATGTCTGGTGGGTTAATACACGCTCCCCAGCATCAGACATGAAATGCATCATTCACATTTAAAAAGACCGTAGACCAACGAGTCGCTCTGAAACGCGTCTCAGAACTGTGGAGGAAGAACGATGAGGAGTTCTTCTTCATCATTCTGTGAAGTATTCATGCTGTCACATTCTTTATTTTTGAGGGGGCGGTGTTGGTATTATTATCCATTTATTGTTATCGAAGTGAACTGCTCAATGATGATTTTAACGAGATGTTTTAGCCTTGAAGGAGTTTGAAATTCTGTTAATGGTTTGGAAATAATTCTTTATGTTTGAACTTTGCTTTTCTTTGTGTGTTGAGAGACCCATTTTGTCTTTGTTTTTTTTAATCAAATCCATGAACGAACAGAAAAATTTCTTAAATCTGTTAAAGAATGTAAATTTTTTGTCTCTATTTGATTAGATAACTGGAAATGTTGGAATCCTTATCCTGTGCCTTTTAAAAGGGAGCTGCTTTAATCCTCTGTCATGTTTGTATGGTGATTGGTGTAGGTTGGCATTATAATAAAAACTAAAAGTGTTAGAATTGGCTCCCTTCATTTGCTCTTTCACAAATTGAGCAGATTAATTATAAATATTAAAATACCCTGGGTCGTCCAACACGGGACATTTTAAATTCATGCTCAGAAAAAAAGAAGAATTGAATTTGGATGGATAATTTAAAAGGAAAGATTTTCAAATGAATAGCCTAGAAATCAGCCAAACAACACCAATATCAGTGATACCACCTTGTATTTTACCAGACGTAACAGTAGATGTATATTAAAAATAAAATAAAATGTTTATCAATACAATTTGGCGCGTTCACAACCAAACGACACAGGAACTGTATCGGTCACGTGGTTTTTCTTAAAGAGGGGCTTCGCCTTGGTTGCTTAGCGCATGCGCCGAGGTTTCAGTGTCGCCAGACCCATCACTACTCCATACCAGTAGGTGGCAGTAACGCAAATTTACCGTCACTTGCCAACAACCAATAAAACACCCGAGGACGGAGGTGGAGGTCTTATAAATCTACGCATTTACTAATTTTTGCGTCCTTTTTGCAGGACCACGAAATAAAGAAAATGGTAAGAACATTTATGTTTTTTCAAAATGCGAATCGGAAGCAAAGCTAATATTTTAACTCCAAATGTTTTCGTTCATTTTGAACATAAAGCCATTTTCGGCAAACGGGTAGCTATATTTCCTACTCGATAATTACTTTAATAATAAAGTGATGTTCTTGATTAATACTTAATAAACCATGTAAGATGTGTAATAAGGTGATGGAAAGTAGCAGCTCGATGCGCAAAGCAATGTTTACAAAGGATAGGTGGCTACGTCGATGCCTGAATAAAAATATTGCGAACGTAACAAATCAGTTTTCTGAATTCCCTCATATTTTCAGTTCCAAGAATATATTTTTGTAGCCACAAATGACAATTAAGTTTAACATCTCTGATGTTTACAGAGCAGCATTCAGTGCCAAGCATTTCCCTGCAAGAACGCAGTTAAAGTTGCTACAGGCTATTTCCAGTTCACACATGAGGATACAAGAAGAGCATAACTAAAACGGCAAAGATGCATAAACGGCAGCAATAATAATAATAACAGCAGCAGTAATGAATGTCTTCAGCTAAAGGACAATATCTACAGTTAATATTACACGTTGTCCATTTCTTACTGAATATATTCAAAACCAAGCAGGGAGACAGAGCAGCTAAAATGACAATTAAGTCAGAGAAAAACAAATTACAGGTCTGTGTCAACCTGTAACATTTCCACTTCACGCTGCATCTTCTCATTCGCAATATCAAATTTCTTGCTTCTTCAATTTATTGGCTAAGGATTGATTACAATGTCTCTATAGTAATTATGTGATACGTTGATTTTTCTGTATCCATTTGGTAGTTTCCCTCTTTGATGCTAAAATGTTTTCTTGGTGCTCAGACTGACGCTGGCTATAGGGAGGCAACCAGATGGATGGATTCCTAGAGACAAAATGTCTGGAAGAGGAAATTCCTCCATTGAGACCGGTTCTGGAAATCTCATCCCTCAGGCCGTCAGTATGAAGCTGGAGCCCACCATCATGGGTAAGTCTCACCACATGTGGTAAAGTACCGATTAAAGCAAATTCAAGTATTTGAATTTGTTGATTAAAGTCAATATTATGTGTGGCTATTTGTTCTCCATTCCTTGCAACACTAGACACTACCATCACTTACACTGTTATGATAGCTCCTTATGTACAAGCATAAATGTCCCCAAATAAATCCTTGATTTGGAATAACAAATCCAAGTAGTCAGAGCTGTGACTGAAATTTCCACTGTGATCCAAAAATAACTTTTGAAATCCTTTTTGACTACTTGTTTCAGTGTTTCCTGCAAATGTTAAGTCGATCCTGGTAGTTAAAGAAGAAGACTCAGAAGATGAAAATCACAGCTCTGATCTCCATGACCCAAAACTCTACCACATAAAGAAAGAAGATGAGGATGTCTGCATCAGTCTGGGGGGAGAGCTGCACAAAGTGAAAGAGGAGTTTGGCATGAAGAGTGAGGATGATAAACAGTCCCCTCTGCCCTCACAGCTTTATCAAGACCAAATTAAAGACGAAGAGCTTGCAGACAAAAACAGAGGAGAATCCATCAGGATAGAAGATCACGGAGATTGTTCCAACTCCTTAGAGTCTGAAGACACCGAAAGCGATGAAGAGGATGATGATGTAAAGCACCCTGTCTCTGAAATGAAAGACTTGTCAGACTCCAGACTGGAAACTAAGGACATGGACAATGACTGGAAGGAGAGGAGAACTCCTGAGTCAGACGGAAACCTAGTTAACAAAGATTCAGAAATAGTCTCTCCAAGCTCACTGGATATTAAATGTTTTACAAAGAACAAAAATGTTAACCCACGAAGGAAGGTAACGACAGGAGGGGAGTTTAACTGTGAAGACTGTGGCAAAACCTTTTTTGGAAAATGGAATTTAAATGCACACATGAGAATTCACACAGGAGAAAAACCTTTCTGTTGCGATGTTTGTGGAGACAGATTTAGCCATAGTTCACATTTAAACACACACATGAGAATCCATACAGGAGAAAAACCATTCTGTTGTGATGTTTGTGGACACAGATTTAGACAAAAATCACTTTTAACCACGCACATGAGAATCCACACAGGACAGAAACCGTTCTGTTGTGATTTCTGTGGACACAGATTTAGCCATAAATCTAGTTTAATCACACACATGAGAATCCACACAGGCCAAAAGCCGTTCTGTTGTGATCTCTGTGGAAATAGATTTAGCCGTAAAACTACCTTAAACAAACACATGAGAATCCACACAGGCCAGAAGCCTTTCTGTTGTGATCTCTGTGGACACAGTTTTAGCTGCAAGTCACATTTAAGTAGACACATCAGAATCCACACTGGACAGAAAATAACTGCGGTTTGATGACTCAAACTGCATAGCTCCAGTTGGTTGTGAAATATTTATTTGTTGGCATTCAGTTCAGCAGTCTTCACTTTTAATCTTAAAACATTTTATAAGTAACATTTGTTTAGTTGTGTGATTGGTAGTTTATTAGCAAATGAATCTGTTGCGTAGATTGAACGGTAGCACAGGTGCGTTCTGAGTTCATGTGTGTGTCCACGGTACAAAAATCAAACTTTGTGTGGTGCCCCCAGATGTCAATGCGACCATTGCTAACATCACAATTGAGTAACCCATCCAGTTTGAGGACTGGTGACCAACTGGTTTTAAATAAATCATGAAGATGAAAATGGGCTGATAGACAATACATGTCTATCCTTGAATAGGAAAAAATACTTAAATTTGTTCAGTATGAATGTAAATACACTCCTATTTATGTCTAAAAAGATCAGCAAAGTAGCTAAAACATGGATCGAAAACGCAAGCAATTGATAACGAAATCACTTTATTTGTTCTGATGTAATTTCCAGGGCTCCTTGATGTTCTGGCTTGTATTTAATTGATCTCAGAAGTTGTTACAGTCATCATTTTTAGGAAGACACCCTAAAAGATACTTTAGGTTCATGTTGCATTCAGGTTACTCTTTGTCCAAGTTCCCAGTGCTGTTTCCAATGCTACAACGACTTCACAAACTCCCTGTAGAGTGGACATGAAAGAAAACATTGTTCATATTATGGAAATAAAACATCAGATCAATTTTAAAATGCAGTACATTTTCTTTCTAGGTTTATAATAAAAGCATATAGCTCTTCTGGTTATATGCTTGTGGTTCTAAAATTGCATAGAACCACAAGCATTTAAAAAGACAAATGTGTGCAATTCACTCTGTGTGAAAACAGTAGAGCTCAGAAAAAAATTACAGAACATCATCCTGAAGATCAATAAATTCAGCAGGAAGGTCAGGGAGGAAGTTGTAGAAACTTTTAAAACAGGGTTAGGTTCTAAAACAATATCTCAAGGTTTGAACATGTCTCAGAGCTCTGTTCAATCCATTATCTGAACATGAAGAGAGGCTGTTGAACTCCAGGCCTATCAAGGTGTGGAGGTTTTCCAAAACTGAAACTGGAAAAGAAGAGCTATTATGATCCTGGTGGCTAGGTTTGGCATTTATGTTCCCTTTGCTACACTGATTATATGGCCTGGTCATACAAAGTGGGGGCTCGTCCGGGATTTTAGAACAATTGGCTGCTCTTTGCTTTTGTAGTATGGTAACAATTGGGGGCTTGTCGGGGAACATTGATCAGAAAAGCAGTCAAGAGATAATTGTAACTCTAAAGTAGCTGATGACACAACAGCTATTTGTTGGATATTCTATAAATCTGGCTTTCAGTGATGTTGTGGGACTCCTGGAAGCTTAGCACACTTGGAATCAGAACCTGGTAAAATCTGACTAGGCTTTTATTTTGTCTTGTTATGAAAACAGGAACTTAAAGAGTACTTTCTGTTTAAAATAAAGTATTGACACTAAACAGTGTCTGACAAATGTTTTCTTACTTTAAGATGCCAGGCAGCTTTGGATCCCGATATAAGCCGTTGTGTAGATACCCCAGAGAACCGTCAAATGTCACAAGCTTGACTCTGTCTTTACTTTGGGCCTTTGCAGCAACCTCATAGCTCTAAAAACAACAAAAACAACTCCATTATAGTCATTACTGAAAATATTGCTTCATGCTAGAGTAATAAAAAGCAGTACCTGACGAGCAATCTGAATGGGAACTAAGTGATCGTCCTCTGAATGAAGGAACAATATCGGACTTTTCATTTTCTTCAAACTGTGGAATATGATTAAGAACAGTATTGACAGAAAATCCTCTTCTTGTGATATTTGCCAATATTAACTAACTCACTTATGTTCTGTGGGAAAGACAGGCATTTTTCCTTCCCACAGGAAACTGAACAAGCGCTTAATGCCTGGAATTCTCCAGTAATACTTTAAACACAGAAATAAATATTGCAAAGTTGTTAGCAACAGCACATGCATCAAATGTGAAAAAATGCTTGGTTAGTGTAGCGTACCCAGGTGAAAATGTTATATGGGATTTGCTGCTGATCAGTATTGAATGCCCCCTCCAGGATCACACCATCACAAACAATACCTAAACAGGAAAGAAGAAATTAGCATTCAGACTGTGGCATCATGCCCTCAGATTCTGCGTTTGCTGAAGTTCAGAGGTCATTAAACGTACCTTCCTCAAGCAGTTTGACTGCAGTGTTAGAGGACACCCTACACAGAAACACAGGCTTCAGTTTGTCGAGTTTTCACCTCCTTACCAAGCAAATTTTAGTTAAGCTTAAACCTTTATCTGGTATGTGATACAACTGAAATCATATATTGCCACACAGTTTGAAATACAACACATATCTCTCAATGTCTGGCCTTAAATCAGTATAATAATAATGTTCTGATTTATCGATTGGGTTTTGTGATTTAACATTATTAAATTAGTTACAAAGTAGGTCCGGGACAAAAAACTAAAAGGTTTAGGAGTGACCATGACAAATACCATCACAAACCAAGGCAGCCTACAAACAACAAGTCTGACTCTGTTTCTCAGTTTCTGAGGAATGGGCTGAAATCCCAGGAAACTGAGATTAGAAGCTAAAAGTTTAAACAGAAAATCTACCAAATACAAAATGTGTGAAAAGTTTTGAAATGGAAAGAAAATTCCTTAAGGCGATGGTGTTCAAACTTTTTGCCTAGGGGCCAAAACTGGGAAATTTAAACTGCTAGTATATCATGTAAGTTAGTTGTTGCAAATAATTTAGGTAATCCTGACTGTTCAGAATGGTGGATATAAAAATGCCAATAGTTTGTCTAAGTGCCAGTGTGTTTTTTTAGCTGACCCACTGCCAAGAGAGTGACCCCAGATGACCACCAGGCTGTCCCCGCTGCGTGCTTTGACCCAGTTGTACACATGCACAGCATCTGTAGTCAGGCCGGATTCAGTCGGCTCACCGGTGGAATCTCCAAAACCTGCCAAAGGTTTTCACATCAGCACCTGTTCACTCACACAACCACACAACCAGAGACGCTGCGTTTCCCTGCCACTAGAGGGCAGTACTGTCATTCAGACAGAGACCTGACCTGAGGTTGAACTGCTGTCTTTTTGACTTCTTCACAGCAAACAACTCATTAAGAACAACTGCACTGGTCTACAGGGATCATATGGCTTCAGAGAGGGAACAATTAAAGCAAAATGCTGTGGATCTGGGTGTAGAGAAGGAAACAGAGACATGAATCCGTAAAAAGCTCCTACCTCTGTAGTCAGGCACCACCACATGGTAACCCAGCGCACTCAGTAACTGTTGACACACTATAAATTATTATTATCTAGAATCATAAACCACACAGTCATCTCTTCAGCAAAATATCAATTCATTAGTGTTGGTGATTACTCACTTTTGCCACTCCAACTCGGTGTGGAGCTGCCCTGTGGAAAGTAATTAGCAAAAAAATTAATAAAAAATAAAAACAATAGCAATACGTGTGTATTTTCTCTCTTCATGTGCTAAATATTATGAAGAGGTGCATCAATAGGACATAGAAAATAAAAAATCATCTAAATTTAAAGAGGTTTGTAGCCCCTTTTCTTGCATTTTTAAATAACTGAAAAATTAAAGAAACTTCTGTATCTTGTATATTTCTGTGTTGATTATTATGTATGAGACACTAAAGTGTTTAAATCTGTTATGTGGGATTATTGACTTTATTTTTTCCTCTTTGGGTTGGAGGTGGAAGATCTGAGTTAAATGTGTTAAAATCTAGTATTTGCTTTTGTTTAGAATAAAAAAGTATTTAGTAAAAAGTCACTGAGTAACTGATCAAACTATTAATCATGTAATATTTACAAAAGTTCAAAATCAATTTCTTAAATAAAAAACTTTTGAAACTTAGACAAACATTGCAAATACCGATATATCATGTATCCCTACTCTGAATTATATGAGTTTCACATTTTAGCTTGAATTATCAATATACATTATTATGATAAAACATTATGAATCACATGTAAATGTGTAAAGTATCCTACCTTGATCCTGTGTTTCCGTGCAGATATATAAAAACCGGATTTCCATCATTTAATGTGTTCTGGTACCACAGCAGGTCTTTCCCCTGAGCTTCTTTCCACCGACTTTCAGGAACTGTATGCCTGGAAAAAACACATCTTCATCAGCAAACACTCATTTTTCCCCAGAGCTACAAGTTTTTAATCTGAAAGGAAAAGCAACAACCCAGCATCTGCTCACCATACGCCCAGGGAAATGCCCTCCTCTGACGTTAAATACATGTTGATGGTGTGATTGAGGGAGAAATCGGCAGGCCGGCTCAGATCCTCAAAGAACGGTACGCTGACTGCACACAGAGAGGAGGAGACCCGTTGTTCTAGCGCTGCAAGATGGAAAACACTCGATAACAGGATCCTTACTCACGTCTGTAGGTGTGAATAATGTCCTGAATCAATGTAGGGATTATTTTATATGTGACAGGCACCAGGATGCAGACAGCAACAGCAGCCAGGAATCCCCGTTTTAACCACCAGGGGGAGCTGTAATCAGAAGACACTTATTTTACTCACGCAGTCATTGGAAAACTTTATTAATCTCATATTTATCTGCTTCTTCAGCTGATCAATTAACAAAAATCTATTTTAACACAACTCTCCTGGAATTTATAGCATTTTAATCTGGTTTCAGGATGGGATTTTTCTGGACCATTAGAACTGTTACAATGACAAAATGTTTCTAAAAATTGTCCCAGAAGTTATTGTGATAAACAATAACATTGTGTTGAGGTCATTTTAAAGAAATGTGATAATCCTAAAGGTATAATTCAACAAATATTTTGCTGGAAGATATTTGAAATATCCAAATATAAAAAAACAAAACAGCAGATAAAATAGATACTGAAGTCTCTGTGAATAAAAGAATGAAGCTGGTTGACACAGAAACACCAAGCTGGAACCTTTGACAAAGTGTTTTGGTAAAAAAGAAAAAAATTATGTAAATGGAAATTATCAAGATCGTTTTAATTTATCCTGAGATTCTTTGATTTATTGCATAATTGAAACACCTTAATTGTTTTACTTTCCAGCCACTTTGTTGCACCTTCCACTGCTTTCCAATGTGTGGAGGGTGCCTCCATTAGGGGGCGCCAGAGGTCTTCATGTGGGGTACAACATGAGAAAAGAAATGAACCAGAAAAAGTAACTGTGGACATTTAGTGAACTTAACCAAAACTGTGCCGAAGACAAAATGTATAGATTTTTATTTCCTGAAAAAAGAGAGAGAGTCTGGGCCAAACAAAGTAAAAACTAACAAAAGAAGAAGAAACTATGACCAGGAAAATTCAAAGCTTGTATTTTCATGGATTGGATCTGAAGATGTTCCAGTGTCACAGAGCTGTTTGCAAAGACCCAGAAGGTTTTTGAAGGAGGCCGATCTCAGCCAAACCTCAGAAACTCCTGGTGTGAAACTGAGATGGAGTCAAACACTGACAGACAGGACCGAGCGCCTGATCAGACCAGGTGAGAACACAAAGTTAACATCTGAGAGGACGTCGTCCCTTAAGTCTTCGGGTTAATTTACAAATGACTGGTTGATTTTTAAAATCTATATACGATGTTTGACTGCAGCTTTGTGGACTTTGAAATGTAAATAGGCAAGAGCTGCCTATTTACCTAATGTCACTACTGATAACTGGTTGACTTGGTTTTGTGGTATATTAACACACCTGTTTGCTCCAGGACAGCAAACTGCTGCTGCCTGAGAATAGTACATCATCACCCATTGATTACTGACTAGAAAGTCATTGAAGAGAGTTGTTCCCTGCCAGTTGTATCTTGAAAAATAGTCAAACAAAACTGGAAACATAGTCCAGAGACGTTGACCCACCAAGCTGCCGCCTCTGGCATCTTTCTGAGGAGCACTGAGGGACTCTGACGCATCTTTGGATGCAGACTCCGAGCTGCTACACACCAGCGGTTTGCAGCGATCAGAAGAGACGAGCGGCTGTGACTGAAGAGAGTCCTGACTCCCCAGAGGCTCCAGACTACAGCCAATTAATGGACAATACATCCCTTCAATCCCTCTATTAAGGCACTAATCAGCCAGCAGAGCCCTCTTAGCTGAAGAACGATCTCTTTACTGAGCTCAAGGGAAACACACCGGCAGTCATTCATTCCAAAATCCAATAGTCTGCCATGAGTTAACGCCACGCTTCATTATTAATGTCTATATCTTTGTTAAGTATGTCCAAAAGCTTTGCCAGATACTTTTAATAAACTTTAAAAAGTGCAACAGGGTTAGGTGGAAAATAGTCTTCATTTGACATCCCTGAAGTTTTTCTGAAGACACTGTCAGGATGTTTGACTAAAGGCAAATTCATCACATGGAGCTGGATCATGAAAATGAACCAACTGCAAAGATACTCAGTCTCCAGTTTTGGTTCATTTAAAGTGGACAAAATCACTTTATTCACTTCTAATACTGATACAGATGTGTGAGGTTTAGTATCAGTCCACCGATGCACTACAAAAAACCCAATGCTGAATTGACTTAAAATGTTTCTTTTTCTAAACAGACATAAATGTACTAAATTATACATTTATTTGATAACTATTGTGAAGTAGATTTTTAAAAAAAGATAAAATCTTTTATTTGCATCATACGGTGTAACATAGTCAAGATGTTTTTTCCTGCAGCTGCAGAGAGGGTGTACAAACTAATTGAACAAGATGTGTCTGGGAACTTGCTGTTTTTCCCGCATGGAGAAAGAGTGTTTAGTTTTTGCATCCGTTGACATGATAGTGAATGAGCGTACAAGGTTGAACTGTTCCGTCTGTTTTCCTTTGTTTCTTTAGTTTGGTCTTGGTAGATCGAGTCTCTGTTAGCAGAGAGAGATGAATAAAGCAACTATGAAACTCTGAGTTCGTTAGAGCAGAATGATTTTCGCCTAATGCAGTGTATTTTTGCTCTCCGTCTGCAGATGTATTAAAGATTGTTTTTGCTCCCTGACTTTTGTCTGGACCTCAGTCTCTGAATTGTGCTCTTCACACTATGCACTTTAATACAGCAGTAGCTTCATAAGCTTGGTCAAATATGTAATAACATCTGTAATTTATTCAGTCAGTGCTATTAGGAGTCAACATCCAATGGAAAATAAATAACAAAGAAAACCTACAAAACAATATAAAAAGAAATGGCAGCAAACCTTATTTTAAGTGGATAAGAAAGAAGAATCAGAAATTCTAGATATGAAGTGAAACTGTAACAGATTGGAAGAGGATGATGATCTACAACACATCCAAACTGGATCTAAAACGGCTGAATCAAGCTAACATTAAGCCTCTGGTTTGGTACCAACCTAATAAACTCAAAGATTGAAGATGTGGGTTGTTTAATCTGGCCACAAAAAAATAAAACAAAATAAATCACTAAAATTAAAACGACATTCACGCCAGTGATTTGAAGACGTAAACTTCTGACCTGGACTATAGCTGTGGCTAAAGGTTAGAGGAGGAAATAGTTCAAAGTTGAGATAAAGAACTCGGATACAAAGGGCAGGATAATGCATCTTGTCAGTGAGTAACTACATAGTACATATGCATGTGTGAGTGTGTGAGAGTGTGTGTGTGTGAGAGTGTGTGTGTGTGTGTGAGTGTGTGTGTAGAAGGACCTCAGTGACTCTGAATACTCATTATCCAGCAAAAATGAAAACAATATCATGGGTTTTGTAGCAATATTTATTATTACAAGCCAAACCTCCAGTTTCTTCATTAGCTGATGCTCATTAAGAACATTTTATTGTCCTGACACAAGCTCACAACTTCCTGTTTGCTAAAAGAATTGAACGAGTCCAATGGGATTAACGACAAGAAACTTAGAATATTAAGAAAAATTACTGCTGCTACTTGCTAATTTAATTTATAGAAAAATGTGTTTTTTTTTTGCTAAATTTAATATAGTTTATCCCGACCCCACTAGGGACAAGGGTATACACAACATGGATAGACGGATGAATATAGTTTAAACAAAAATTACTCACTGACTGCTCCTCTTTGCTCCAGCCGCCCTCCTGTCCTTCCTGTCGGGGGACGAATCGTCTTGTTTCACGTTTCTCCTTTTCATCGTTTAACTGCAGTAATTCTTCCCCACTGAGTGTTTTCAACAGCCTGGTTTGGCCATTGCACTTTGACTCCAGATTTGATTAAACACCGGGAAAAGGGAGGGGGGATCAGGGAAGCCACTGTTTCCCTGGTAAATGTGCAGAATGCACTACAAATGCTTGTGTGGCTACCTTAAACAAATGACATTATATAAAAAGGTAAAGGGAATAAAGCATTACTTTGAGGAAAACTAATCACATGTATTTTCTTCTAATATATATTTCTTAAATATCAGCAAATATATGGACATATTTTCCTTTATTCCTATTTTATTTCCTTTAAAGTTTATATATTTGTTGGGGTTTTTTTATGTATGAGAGCCTCAGTGTCTAAATCAATGACACTAAACTGATTTATTTAATAGAAAATCCACCAGAGCTTCATCATGATACCTGACAGAGCTGACTGGACAAGAACCAGTAAGAAAATCACAGCAGAAAATCTGCAGGATAAGAGGCCTACACTGCAAAAAATGAATCTATCCAAGTATTTTTGGTCTAGTTTCTCACAAATATTTTAGTACACTTGAAATGAAACAAAAATACCTTGGAGGAACTTTACAGTAAGACACAGGAGCTTGATTTAAATCAATAATTCTTGAATAAACATAAAATAGGGTGTTAGTTTCACTGGTAGATTATTTCACTAAAAATACATTTTGTCTGTTTTAGTAGATGCACATTTTCATCAATATTCAGAAATTATACATAAAACAAGCTCCAATAAAAAACGTTACCAGTGAGTTTTGACTTCTTTCATGTGTGCTGAGATAGTTGAACTAGAAAGTCAATAAAAAAATTCTTTGTAGGATTTTGTGTTTTTGCAGTGTGGAATAAACAGACGATCAGTTCAATAATTGTGCGGCTCGACCCGGATGAGAGACCCAACAGAGAGGACGTGAGCGCCGGCAGAGCCTTCAGGATCCTGGTGACTCAGATACACACCAAAGGTCACCTGCGATCCACAAAAATAAACTTATTAGAAAACATTTTCAAGCACTTGTTCAATAAAACCACCAAACAGCACGGAGGTGACTGTGACTGTTTGGACCCACCTTCCCAGCCCGGTAGGCAGACAGGCTGATGAGCGGCTCTTTGCTTTTGGTCCCTGTGTCCTGGTCTACTCCAATCATCTGGCACCTCCCACAGCGGCCTGCGACCTTTTGGTTGACCACACAGAGAAGTTAATTTCACTCCTGCTTCCACCAGGTGTTGTGGAAAATGTCCCCTCTGCTCACCATGAACCGTGTGTCGCCAATAATCAAGTGTGACCAATTATCCTCCTCAAAGGGTTCTGCTCCAGCGATGACTAAATTGGCGCGGAAGCGGCTGATGACGCTCTGCGTGTCGAGGAGCTGATGGGCCTCGCAGCCGTCCTGCCTGCAGAAGGGAGCGCGTGTGGAAATTACATGCTATTTTTCCCTGCGCCGCATCAAAAGAGCCACTGTAATGTAAATGTGCAGACGTCAACGCGTCCCGGAGCGATGAATAAAGTGTTGTGTGTTCCAACCTGCTGCTCATTAGATCCTGAATGAGAGCCACGCTGGCACGGTTGATCATGAGATACTGAGCTTCGTTCACCAGGGAGAGAAGCGGGGAGTCGGCAGCTAGAGAAGAAAGACTTTATATCACCCTGAAGATTTGTTTCATTTCAGAAAAAACATTCTCATTTACAGTTTCTGCGAACTGATGCTGATTAGTGGATAAAAAAGTGATTTCTGTAAATTCATCAATGCTGATCAAATGTTTACTGGGAAAATAAGAAGTGAAAGGCAATTATGAGTGAGACAGAAACATCTGTCATGAATATGTTTCCTTGCAGCTGCAGAGCTATTTTTTCACATTTTGTCACATTACAACCAAAAAAGATAATGCATAATTTCAGGATTTTGAGATTGATTTTGTGGTTGTACTTTAGAGATATTTGCTACATTTGACCCCTTCCAAAATCTCCATGTAAAAAATAAAATAAAATAAGCTCACAGTCTGGAGAGAAACAGCTTGGTTCTTTAAGGCTGATTTATGTAACAAAATATTTTTTGTGTATTTGTTAAAATTTGTTGCAGAGAAACGACAGGAAAACCATTTATGGTTTGACTCTCCAGGAAGGCTGGCTGCAAATGCCTGCCACACTTGTCAGATTTTGTATTTTGTAGAACTTTTCAGAAATCATGTTTCCACTTTCTATTGAGATAAATAACAATAAATACATAAAGGTTTGTAAATATGAGGTGAGTAAATGTGAACAAGGATAAAAACACTTTTTCAAGAAACCTTGAAAGGACAATTTAGGTTCTTTATATGTGTTTCAAATGAATAATTAAGTGAAATAAAGGCGAAAACAATCTATTTAATGTGCAGCCATATTTCTTCATCTATAACATTCCTAACAGCGGCCCAAAGCAGGTATAAATGTTGAGGATTTTCTGCTGGGGGATGAACGTCTGAACTTAAAAACAGGAAAGTTTGGAGAGTTAAAGCAGAGCGGATCGCCCGGATGACGCCATCTCGACTATCTCACGCTGAGTCTGAAGACAAAACACTGAAAAGAGAGCCTGGATTACAAATGACGAAAGACACGGGTCTGTACCAGTAATGGAGGATCAGCGAAAAGGATGTATCTATTGCATTGTGGGTAAATGAAGAGTGGAAGAGATATTCGATTTCTTTTAGCTTAAGCTGGAAAAAGACTTGCGGCAGAGGCAATGATTTCAGAATATACGCTCTCTACTCTCCATAAGCTCCAGGAGAAAAACTCTCAGGGTTTAGTTCATTAGCTCTTGATGGGAAAAAAAAATCCATCTGACATTTATTTCTTTGAGGTTTTTCACACACTCAGGGTGTGAAAAGTTTAAAACAGATGCAAAAAATGTAAGAAGTTATAAAACTCTTCCACAATTCTACCATTTTCCCTCAAATGTTCAAACTACAGCTTTTGCAAACTATAATAAATAATTTTCTGTACAATTCAACTAAAAAATAAACAAGCTGTTTCTAAATTAATCGACGATTATTGAAATCATCGATGCATCACCATTAGCAATTAAACAAATATTATGTAGCAAACAGCAACAAGATGTAAATAATCATTGGTGTTTAGTTTCAACTGTCGCAGCGATACAGACGATGTTAAAGCCGATCTGAAAACCTACAAATGATTTAGGTGAATTTCCAAAGTCTTAAAAATCTGCAATTTTATCAGGAGCCAAAATATAAATTTTTCACCTGGTGATTATTTTGTTGACATGTAAATTGAAAATGTTTTGACTCAAAGTCTGAGGCATAACAGAGTCAATCAGTCTGAAACGGCTGCAGAGAGGCGGTTCACGCAGGTCAGGAGCTTCCTGTGGAGAACTGCAGCTTTTAGCATTGATTTTTTGTCTCTCCTTTGTGACCTTGAAGAAGTTTTACATAAAACAAGAAGCATTTAATCCACCAAATGAAAGTTACTAACCCAGACGGATAACATGACCTCTTTAATTCTCAGTATATATCCTTCTGTTTGACAAATTTCTTTCAGTTATTATCTCTTAATAGTAACAATCAGAGAAGGCGAGCGCCCTTGAAAATATTTTACTTTAGTGGATCCTTGACGATAATCGTAACGCTCCACAGGGAGTGGGAAACTGGAAAGAAATTAAAATGTGGTGTTTCCAGACAGTAGGATGATAATCAATAGAACGGGCATAATCTATGAACGTTTGAAGACGAGGGATCAACAGAAGTCTTGTTTATTTGTGGAACAGCGGTGGGTTTAAAAGTCACAGAGGAACAAAGATAAAGTTATGAGGCAATAAAAAAAACACCTTTTATATTCATGGTTGGTGTTGTTTTTCAGCCAATCAACATAAAATCTGAAATTATAAAGCTGGAACAGCGAAAAACGACTGATCTCTAAAGAAGCATTTAAATCTAGAGAAAACACCAGATTCTTTTGTAATTGAAAACATGGAGGTATTGATTTTATCATCAAGGTTTGTTTGATTGCACCTCCAAGCCTCTGAGCAATGCACGCTATAAATCCCTTAAATATCCCAAAGTTTAAGCAGTTTCAATTTCAGTAAAGCTTTACTGAGTTATGAAGAGTTGCAACAATACATGAATGCAAACCAGCGTTCTGCAGAGCGACCATGGCAGGTGATGCATGCATTATTATTATTACTATTACTATTATTAAATGTGTGTAATATTTCAACTTAACCTGTTTTATAAAAACAAGGTTTTTTATTTTATAATTTTTGTTTGTTTCAAAATTGCAATACAAATAAAAATATATTCTTATTGTTATCATTTTAATGATAACTTTACATAAATGCATAACTTCTAGTCAAAGACGACAGATTGTTAGTTTTATTATTTTCTCCATAAGAGCAGAAATAAATATCAGTAGACTTTAAAATGTGATTAAACGTTGATCCTGTTTGCGGTTTTGTGATAAAAATCTAACTTCTTTATAAAGTTGGTATCCTGAACATAGAATTTTTAAAAATTTCTATTTGAGCCAAAGTTAAAAGCTTTATTGTCGCCTTCATTTTTTCATCTTCACTTGATTTGTGACTTTATTTTATTTTACTAAGAGAAAATGTCAGCGATGCCAAAGCAGTTCACACCAAAGCAATGCAAAGTGGACTTTAGTACTTTAACTATTTTGATATCAGATATCTGTGAAAAATTTATCGAAAACTCAACTAATACCACAAAGTTACTCTTACATTTAGCAACTTTTCAGACATAAAAATCGGCCAGAAAAATGCAATCGATGAACTCCTAATGATTATTTGGAATGAAGGTTGAAACGCTCCCACCAGGTTACAGTTACGCACAACTTTGTTCTGGTTTTGCACAGAAAATCTCGGTCCAGTTTTTGTTTGTAGCAAGACAAAATGTGAAAAAATCACAGACTTTCAAAAGTGTGAAAATAACTCAGCCCTAAAAACTGAAGGAAAACATGAAGTTGATTGTGTATTTTTCTGACAAATTATTAAATTTCTGAGCTGGTATATCTAGTTTGACTTGAATAAATAAAATAGCATTAAATAATTCAAACTAAGTGCAATGACACTTAAAAAGAGTTTCAATATGACTTTTGTAGTTGTTACACAAATAATATGTTAATACCCTCCTGTTGCTGGCCACTGCAACAGGAGGCCAGCAGTGGCCTCATATAAATATACATATAAATATATATACATATAAATATACATATAAATATAAATATTTTAGGAGAAATATAAAATACCAAACTTGTTAACTGTAAATGTATCAGCTGATTTTAAAACAACATGGTACTTTTAAATATCAGTCTGCCTTTCAAATTCAAAATATATTTTTCAACAGCCTTAATAACACTGGTGTGATGTAAGCTAATTTAAAATGATGCTAATGATAGCAGGTATGTTGCACACATAAAGCAGCTTATAAATGGTGATGAGGGTGGGGAATGGGGGGGAAAATCTGCCTGGGGACCCAAAAAGGCTTGGACCGGCCCTGTCCCCATGTGTGCTTGGTTTCTTTTCATACATCACTGTTAGCTTGTCTGGTCTGTGATGGACAGAGACCAGCCCCCCCCCTCAGCCCGGATAAACAGATACTGGATGGACATTTTTGCTGTAGCTACCGTCGGCCGGCTTCTTCTTCTTCATTTCTCGCGTGTAATCAGGACGTTGCCTTATCAGGCGGCACGGCTGTCCCAGGAAGTCTGAAAGCCATGACGCAGCTTCGTCTCCGCAGTCCATCGTCTCCACCCTGGGAGACAGAAGAGGATTATTTTCAGGAGGCCCAGGAGGCATTTCTTCAGAGCTTCATGCTTCCTGCTATTTGCTGCGACATCTAATCCAAGAATCAGTGAACAAATGGTGTTTCTTCTTCTTCTTCTTCTTTTATGGTGACATGTCATGTGGGGATATGTCAGAGGAGATTAATATCTCATTCCTATTGTTTGTTTGGGCATAAAAAGTCGTGGGCAACAAGACTTTTCTAAGAAGCAGAGAGAAGGAGGCCAAGACAAGAAAAAAGAAAACAAAAAACAAGGCAGCACTGAGAGAAGAGAAAAATGTTGATGTGTTTTCACCTGTCACCACAAACTTTACTGCGACACACACGAGAGTCTGCGTGCCGCTGAGCGTCGTCTTCCAGGGGGACTGACACAGTCTCCATCCCTGCAGGGCAGAGGGAGAACAGGGAAAATCCTCTCAGGAAAATTTGCCTGATTGAGACTTTTCTTGTTAGGAAGTGAATTATTTTTAGTGAGACGTGCAGAGACTCTCTGACCCGAAGCCTGCAGGAACAATTTATTTGCAGCGAGGTTGACTTGTGGGCGAATGAGGCATAAACGCGTCTCTCTCTTCTGACTCAGACACACGCCGTTGTGGTTTACCACCATCCAGCCTCTGTCGTACAGCAAACCCAGCGGCCCCAGCGGCCAGTCCTGCACCTGCACGAAGAACCGCAGAGTCCAATCACACTCGGAGAACCGCACAAAGACGAGAAGGGATGCGCTAAGTTATGCGCTCCAACCTCGTATGCGCCGCAGGATTTGACGGGGTATATATAGACGTTGGTCAGAGTGTAAGCCTCCCCAGAGCGTTTTGAGTCTCCATGTCCAAATCCTTTACAAGACACTTCTGTGGATTTCTTCTCAGCTCCTTTGTGGACTTGTCCATTAGAGATTTCATCTGAAGGGTGTTGATTGGATTCCTCTGATGGCGGCCCAGCTGTTTTCAGCTTCTGCAGCCTGACTTGGTCTACCATGACGGGTTTCTCCACAAAGCACTCGGCAACAAACTTCAGGAACTTTTGACAGTCTTCGAAGGTGGACATGTAGCCAAAGGACACGCGGACGGATCCGGTCGGCTGGCCGTCCACCAAGTCCATGTTGTCCCCGCAGACATGACCGGCCTTGTAGAGTAAAATAAAAAAAAAAAAACACGCTTCATTTCAGGAAACATTCACCTTTTGTCATTTTCATGCAACAAAAGAATTTCTATCCTTCAAACTTTTTCACATTTTGTTACGTTGAAACCAAAAACTTAAATGTTTTATTTTCCAGTTACTATTTTTTGGAGTGTTGAGGTTAAAATGTGCTAAACCTTTAGAATAAGTTACATTTCTCAGCTTTAATGCACCTTCTTATCAGGTTAAAGTAGTTCACAGCCTGGCTTTTTATTCAAAGTGATATTTTAGGGCTTTAACCAGATTATTTTCTGAGGCAAAAATAAAAACAAGTCTAATCTCAGTGGATTGTTAACAGATTTTGAGTTTAGTTTCTGTTCTTGGGGCACATCTCTCAGGATTTAATTATGAAATACCTTAAAGCGTCACAAACTATGGGTGACACTGAAACGATTTTATTTCTACTGGGAAGAGTTATATCTTGTGAATATAAAGCACTTTCTCATCCTTTCTGTCCTCAAAAGAGAGAAAAAATAGGAAGTCTGAGTTGTTTTTACAGCTTTTCATGGATTTTGTAGAGACTTTATATGAGGTGTCGATCAATATCGCAGATTTAAAGTCTCCGGGTGGCCCTGTGTTGGAACCCAGGAGTGGAAGCAAACTCAGGAAATAACCAGAATTAGTCCAAGAGGAAAAACATTATGGCTCTATCTTAAAACAAGCCTATTTCCAGGAGTTAGAGTGGACCAGTCAAAGAGTTATTTGATATGGATTGGGGGGGAAATGTATTGTTTTCTTCTAGTTCACAATTCTGTGCTACTTTGTCTCATCATTTTTTTTAGCATTTTCAGTAAAATGCTAAAATATAAAAGAGCTGAAGAGACGTGAAAACGTTTGCGCTTCCTACCTGCAGGTTTCTCTTCATCTGCTGGTTGGAGATGCCGAGGAAAGCCTGGCAGGCCCCGGTGTTGCAGAAGCAGCCAGTTCGCAGGTGAATATTGTACAGACTGGCCATTCTGTCCACCTAGCAGCAAAGAGAGAGAGAGAGAGAGAGAGAGAGAGAGAGGACTGCTGTAGTATTTCCTAGAGCTTCCTATGCATAAACACGCATTAATTAAGCAATTAAAATATGAAATGAATCCTTCAATCACTTGTACCTGTGAGTACCCAATTATCTGTCCACTTGAATCCAGGAGGTTAAAGTTCAGGATTGCTCCCTGAGTGATTGGACTCTCAAACTGACTCTCGGCGTAGATCTGCGCCACCGGCCTACCGTTGCCATGGCAAAGACTTGAGAGCAGCATGTAAGTGTAGCGTGCCAAGCCAAACGTGTGCTGCTGGATGCTGTGCATGCTCCCTGCAGGCGAAAACAGATGAAGACGATCAGAGTTTCAGGTTCCCATCAGGAATAAACTGGATGCATTATGATTCTGACCTGTTATCCTGTAAAGAGACTCAAACGCATGGTTTAAAGCGATGATGTCCAGGAAGGAGACGGTGCCATCTTCAAATCTGTATCAGAGAAATGAAACATATTACCATCAGGCCCGGCTCGGTAATAAATGTTACTGGATGATAATTGCATTAATTACTGCAATAAATGATAATATTGTTGTTTTGAGAACATTTTCAGGTAATTTAACAGTAAAGGGATAAAAATGCAAGAACAAAGAATATTTATCTCTCAAACTGTAAGACGTTCCACATTAAAACAAAGTTGTCCTACAAAAAGGACCAGACTGAAGACTTTTCTTATCCAGTTTTAGTAGAAAGAGATAAAAGAGAAAAACAATCAATCATGCAAATAGAAATGACTGAGCTTGTTTTCATTTATTATGCGATTAAGTGATTTATTGTACATGGCGATGGGCCTAACTACAGCTCAGAATAAAAACCAAGGATCCAGACGGTTTTACTGCAGCACTTCACCTGTCAGAAATGTTTTCCACCTGCACATAATAATCCTCTCCAGAAAGGTAAGCTGCTGCTGTGCCTCCTCCAAAATAAGACTTTTTTAGTATGCCTGCTGCGTCGTTACGGACAAGAAGAGCCCCCAAACCTGTTGGGAAGCCGAATATCTTGTAGAAGGAAATGGGAATGAAATCAGCGGGGCAGTCCTGAAGGCTTAGAGGGGAACAGCCGACATGCGAAGCTGCATCGAGCAGCACGAACCAGCGGCCTGGCAGGTCGCACGCCGGGTAGAGGCGTCTCGCCTGGATGCCTCTCACATGGCTGAGAGGATACTTCCTCCCTGAGAAGTTGCTCTGCGCCGGGTAGCAGAAAAGGTGCGGTGTTTGGCAGGAAGCATCTTCTCCCTGAACTCTGTCCTTTGCCCTGGCGGTCAGCTCCTGCGGGGCAACGGGAAGGGCAACGACCCCCAGAGCTGCAGTCTGTCCTCTTATGCCAACTACAGACGTGTGGCTGTCGGTGAGAAAGCAGAAGAAACTGCCAGCTTCCCTCTTAGCATCGCAGCTCCAGGGAAAGCTCTCAGCCACCAACTTGAGAGCAGCTGTGCAGCCAGAAGTGAAGATCACTGAGTATTCTTTGGAGGTGGTGTTGAAATGCTGCAACACTCTGCAAGAAGACAGTCGGTTTTCAGTGTTTTGGACCGGAGTATGTCAGAGCTCCTGCGTTACACGGCGAGGCGCTACCTGTCTCTGACCCGCTCCACAGTGTCGTGTGTCAAGCTGCTGCTGGGACTGTGGCTGTGGGGGTTTCCTGAAGGGGAAAAAACCAAAAAACATTTCAAGAATTATGCTGGTAAGCGAGCAGTGCATACATAGGCTTGATTGACTGCGCTAAGACCCGCCTCCTGGCTCTGATTGGTTGTTTTTATTTAGCACTGGAATAAGGCGGCAAAGTTTGATGTTTTCACAGATTATCTGTGTCACACCATGCTCTCACAACATAGAGACAGTTTCAACAATTTTTAAAAAATGTTCATTGCTACAGCATTAAATGAGAGGGTGGAGTTTTCTCTGTGAAGTGGATAAATAATTAATGTTCTAAAATAAACAAATATATTTAAAAAAATTATAAATGATAGGACATAAATCAATCCTGAAATGAATACAGTAAATGTGATAGATGGGAAAAGTTCCCAATGAAACTTACTCAATATATTTTTATTTCATTTCATTAGAATGATTATTTATTGGAGTGTTTATTAGTTATTTGTAAATAATATTTGTTTATTGTTGAATAAAACAGCTCTTCATAAATGAAAAAAGTTTCATGTCAGAACTGTGAAAAAGGCAAATTTTTCAGAAATCTGGTATTAAAATCTGAATTCGGACTTTTTTGGTCCTAATTGTCTTCCCTAGAATTCTTGCACCGTTCAAATAGTTTGGTTGCGTTCAGTTGGACAGACCTGGAGGTCCAGTGGGTCATTCCCCATCCTGATGGTGGCACTATTAACTCATGACCTGAATTCTGGTACCGAATGAAACAAAAAGCACCAAAATGTCTCTTTCTGACTTCCCTCACCGTACATGTTGGTGGAAATGTCCCGGAAGTAGTCTCTGAGCAGAGACTCCGGGTACAGAGTGGCTGCAGCATGGTCCAGATATGTGACTCCTGTTTGTTAGAGAAAACAGGCCTGTTATAGCTGGACCCGGATGTCCTCCGATCAGCGCCGCGAACCGTCTCTCTACCTTTGGACCTGCGGAACTCCTGCTCCACCTCGGCCCGGAAGTTCCGCCCGTAGCCGTACCGACCGCAGCTTTGCTGGAAAGACTCAAAAGAAGTGAGATCGTGGAAATCCATCGTGGCCCTTCAGCTCGCTGCTCCTGTCATTATCGGCTCCAAAGTCCAGAGATAAACTGTCTGGGTTAAAGTCGCTCTTTGTGTCCTGTTACCGTCCGGAACCAGAACCTGCGGTCACATGCGGACATCAGAGCGACTTCCCTCCGGTTCTGACTTCATTCAGTCCAAACAAATGAAAAGAAAGATTAGAAGAAGTTCCAATCTGACGCTCTTCAGATACTTGGTTCAGTAACTGTGTCGGTAAGAGGCGGTTCTAGAAGAAATGGGGGCGAGTCCTCCCAGTGCCATGGGGGGCAGACAGACTGTTGCCCCAATAGAAAGAAAAAGCATCAACACTGGAGTAAGAAAAAAATGCAAAAGGGAAAAAAAGGTTTTGGGAATTATTAAGAATATTATCAAATAAAAAGGGATGTTAAATAATTGACCTTATTGCAAATGAATACATTCACTCAGGATTCAGCCAGGAAACGTTCTTGATGCAGAACCAAAGTGTTTTACAATAAGACAAGCATTAAAGCAGAATCCCTGAATCGCACTTTTCCATGTTTGAAACCAATAATTAGTTTAGAAAATTTGGTCCAATGAAACTTGATTGATAACAACCTTTAAGCAGTACAGGTCTGATTTTTCCTTAAGCTCAAAATTCTGTTTTTATTTTTTTTTAAATTATTATTTGTCTGATGTAATATTCAAGTCTTAATTGATTAATTTAATTTAACAGCTAATTTTTTTTCATTAGTGAAAAATATTATTCATTAACAGAAACAAAGACTGGAATTAATCTCTGTTCAGTGTTTATCAGGAAATTAAATTAGCAGAAAATCTGCCTACATGAAGAGAATATCTATCTATCTATCTATCTATCTATCTATCTATCTATCTATCTATCTATCTATCTATCTATCTATCTATCTATCTATCTATCTATCTATCTATCTATCTATCTATCTATCTATCTATCTATCTATCTATCTATCTATCTATCTATCTATCTATCTATCTATCTATCTATCTATCTATCTATCTATCTATCTATATCCTGAGCCATATGGAGCTGCAGTAATGCAGAAAACAATAAATGTTACTGGAAATAGTTTGAAAACCAAAGTTTTGGAAATATTTGACCAAATTTGTTAGTATTATTTATTTTAATCACTGTAAAGAAACACTTGTTTTCATTATTATTAATGAAAACAACAATAATAATAATAATGATAATACAGACCTTTGGGCACTTAAATAACTTAGAAACATTATAATATGTAGGAGAAACATAAGATACTTTTGATTACATAATTTTGATAAATAAAAATCAAATAGTTTTGATGGATAATATTTTGGGTTGAATTTACGACAATGAGTTAAATGTTCACAGAGTGTCTGTATCCTCCTCCTCTTCCTCACGTCATCTTGTAATGCATGTGCAAAGATCACTAAGATGAGTCATCTCCATCTTTCCCATCATCTGACGGGTCCAAGTATGAATTTCCCCTGGCTGTTTGCCACAGAAGCCTTTCTGTCTCCGTTCTACAACGAGGCCGTGTCTCCGAGTAAAACCAGGCTGCCTCAGATTTTACTATCACTGACACAAAAGGATTGTGTTCCTGAAGTCCAGACTGCTCATCTGGAGATGCGTGCATTTTCATTCTACTTCAGTACACCCAGCTCTTGTTTTTGTTTGCATATTTCCATTATGATGCTGTCTCATGTACTTTCGTGGTAAAGAATAGTGTCCCTGCCCATCATCTGTCATTACCCGAAGGACTTCCTGTTCCACATTGATAGATTAGAACAAAATGTTTACCGCACAGTTCAGGAGTTTGAGAGTTCATTCAAATAAATGCTATTTTCCTGCAGCGTATTATTAAAGACAAACAAGTTGAGACTTTTATATCAACTATAAATGATTGACATTTCAATTCTACAAAAACTTTAAATAAAGTTTGTAATTTCAGAGCAAAATCCAATACAAAGGCTGGTACAAAACACTTCAAACTGTGTTCAATATTAAGCTAGACATTAGAATTGATGACAGAGCCGGCCCAAATCATCAGCACAGAGCCGGCCCAAAGCATCAGCACAGAGCCGGCCCAAATCATCAGCACAGAGCCGGCCCAAAGCATCAGCACAGAGCCGGCCCAAAGCATCAGCACAGAGCCGGCCCAAAGGATCAGCAGAGAGCCGGCCCAAAGGATCAGCAGAGAGCCGGCCCAAAGGATCAGCACAGAGCCGGCCCAAAGGATCAGCAGAGAGCCGGCACAAAGCATCAGCACAGAGCCGGCCCAAAGGATCAGCACAGAGCCGGCCCAAATCATCAGCACAGAGCCGGCCCAAAGCATCAGCACAGAGCCGGCCCAAAGGATCAGCACAGAGCCGGCCCACAGGATCAGCACAGAGCCGGCCCAAAGCATCAGCACAGAGCCGGCCCAAAGAATCAGCACAGAGCCGGCCCAAATCATCAGCACAGAGCCGGCCCAAAAAATCAGCACAGAGCCGGCCCAAAGGATCAGCACAGAGCCGGCCCAAAGGATCAGCAGAGAGCCGGCCCAAAGCATCAGCACAGAGCCGGCCCAAAGAATCAGCACAGAGCCGGCCCAAATCATCAGCACAGAGCCGGCCCAAAGGATCAGCAGAGAGCCGGCCCAAAGGATCAGCAGAGAGCCGGCCCAAAGGATCAGCACAGAGCCGGCCCAAATCATCAGCACAGAGCCGGCCCAAAGAATCAGCACAGAGCCGGCCCAAAGCATCAGCACAGAGCCGGCCCAAAGAATCAGCACAGAGCCGGCCCAAAGGATCAGCACAGAGCCGGCCCAAAGAATCAGCACAGAGCCGGCCCAAAGCATCAGCACAGAGCCGGCCCAAAGCATCAGCACAGAGCCGGCCCAAATCATCAGCACAGAGCCGGCCCAAATCATCAGCACAGAGCCGGCCCAAAGGATCAGCACAGAGCCGGCCCAAAGGATCAGCACAGAGCCGGCCCAAAGCATCAGCACAGAGCCGGCCCAAAGAATCAGCACAGAGCCGGCCCAAAGAATCAGCACAGAGCCGGCCCAAATCGTCAGCAGAGAGCCGGCCCAAAGAATCAGCACAGAGCCGGCCCAAAGCATCAGCACAGAGCCGGCCCAAAGGATCAGCACAGAGCCGGCCCAAATCATCAGCACAGAGCCGGCCCAAAGCATCAGCACAGAGCCGGCCCAAATCATCAGCACAGAGCCGGCCCAAATCATCAGCACAGAGATGGCCCAAAGCATCAGCACAGAGCCGGCCCAAATCATCAGCACAGAGCCGGCCCAAATCATCAGCACAGAGATGGCCCAAATCATCAGCACAGAGCTGGCCCAAAGGATCAGCACAGAGCCGGCCCAAATCATCAGCACAGAGCTGGCCCAAAGGATCAGCACAGAGCCGGCCCAAATCATCAGCACAGAGCCGGCCCAAATCATCAGCACAGAGCCGGCCCAAAGCATCAGCAGAGAGCCGGCCCAAATCATCAGCACAGAGATGGCCCAAAGGATCAGCACAGAGCCGGCCCAAAGCATCAGCACAGAGCCGGCCCAAATCAGCACAGAGCCGGCCCAAATCATCAGCACAGAGCCGGCCCAAAGAATCAGCACAGAGCCGGCCCAAAGGATCAGCAGAGAGCCGGCCCAAATCATCAGCACAGAGCCGGCCCAAATCATCAGCACAGAGCCAGCCCAAATCATCAGCACAGAGCCGGCCCAAATCATCAGCACAGAGCCAGCCCAAATCATCAGCACAGAGCCGGCCCAAATCATCAGCACAGAGCCGGCCCAAAGAATCAGCACAGAGCCGGCCCAAAGCATCAGCAGAGAGCCGGCCCAAATCATCAGCACAGAGATGGCCCAAAGGATCAGCACAGAGCCGGCCCAAAGCATCAGCACAGAGCCGGCCCAAATCATCAGCACAGAGCCGGCCCAAATCATCAGCACAGAGCCGGCCCAAAGAATCAGCACAGAGCCAGCCCAAAGGATCAGCAGAGAGCCGGCCCAAATCATCAGCACAGAGCCGGCCCAAATCATCAGCACAGAGCCGGCCCAAAGGATCAGCAGAGAGCCGGCCCAAATCATCAGCACAGAGCCGGCCCAAATCATCAGCACAGAGCCAGCCCAAATCATCAGCACAGAGCCGGCCCAAATCATCAGCACAGAGCCAGCCCAAATCATCAGCACAGAGCCGGCCCAAATCATCAGCACAGAGCCGGCCCAAATCATCAGCACAGAGCCGGCCCAAATCATCAGCACAGAGCCGGCCCAAATCATCAGCACAGAGCCGGCCCAAAGGATCAGCAGAGAGCCGGCCCAAATCATCAGCACAGAGCCGGCCCAAATCATCAGCACAGAGCCAGCCCAAATCATCAGCACAGAGCCGGCCCAAATCATCAGCACAGAGCCAGCCCAAATCATCAGCACAGAGCCGGCCCAAATCATCAGCACAGAGCCGGCCCAAAGAATCAGCACAGAGCCGGCCCAAAGCATCAGCACAGAGCCGGCCCAAAGGATCAGCAGAGAGCCGGCCCAAATCATCAGCACAGAGCCGGCCCAAATCATCAGCACAGAGCCGGCCCAAAGAATCAGCACAGAGCCGGCCCAAAGCATCAGCACAGAGCCGGCCCAAAGGATCAGCACAGAGCCGGCCCAAAAAATCAGCACAGAGCCGGCCCAAAGGATCAGCACAGAGCCGGCCCAAAGAATCAGCACAGAGCCGGCCCAAATCATCAGCACAGAGCTGGCCCAAAGGATCAGCACAGAGCCGGCCCAAATCGTCAGCAGAGAGCCGGCCCAAATCATCAGCACAGAGCCGGCCCAAAGCATCAGCACAGAGCCGGCCCAAAGCATCAGCACAGAGCCGGCCCAAAGGATCAGCAGAGAGCCGGCCCAAAGGATCAGCACAGAGCCGGCCCAAAGAATACGCTCAGGGCCCCAGAGCATCATGGGCCTCCCAGCACAGCTTGAATTTTAGCACAGAACTTAGATCTAAAATTAAAATATTTACTTCACGACAATCAGAATACTGTTAAAGTTTCAGCATGAATAAAAAATAGATTTCAAATTTTTTAAAACAGAAATTTAAAATTTAAAGGACTTGGGAAGTTTCCTTTGTAGAAGTTCAAAGAATAGTTTTAATTGATTGACTGTTGTGTTACCATAGCAACTATCTGATGCTGCTCGTTGTCTGTGTGGTACCGCTCAGTGGATCCAGACTGATCCACTCTTATTAAGAACAGATATTAATTGGTTATCCAGGATTACTTTTGAGCTCCGCCCACTCTCCCAGTTTCCTCCAAATTAGCAGACAAGCAATAGAAAACCTTTTTGGGTCGTTCCAGGCCCGTCGCCCTGGGTGCTGAGCCACATCACTTGTATTAAAATCTCTTCATATTTTGTAAATAGTTTGCATTTTTTCTTCTGGAAACTGAAATATTAAAATATCTTAAAGTTAAACGATTGGCACATAGAATCTCATGGGAATACATTCATAATTGTAACCTAAAAATGTTTATGTTTGCATGGCACTTGGCTCTAATAAACCAAAACGTGTCTACAGTAGACACTTAGCTCACAGTTAAGCTGTAAAACTAACCCTAACCTTCTTATAAGAGCAGAATTACCTGTAATTGAAGCCGCTCCGTTCAATGCAAGGCGGAAGAAGGATGCTACTTGTAAAGTGGATCTAATGTGTTTCTAGATATGTGCTATTCAAGCCATGAGGCCATTATTGTCTTGGTGAGACTGAGTGATAATTAAACATGCCACTTCTGCTTCACTGCTTCATTTCCTTCACAGTTTCTGAGCTCAGATGAATACATTTTTCAGCGCAGAATGGTTTTATTGTATCCAGTTTGGCCTCATTACGAGGCCACAAGGGCTTGTTGTGGGGGGAGGGCAGAGGCCGCGTGGAGGGGGGGCACCGGGGGGCGCACCCCATGAAGACATTGTGCTTAACATCACTAAATACTTCAGACGCCACATTGTTCTCCATCAGTTAGGTTATTTTTAAGCAGGCAGGAATCTTTCTGAGATCCTAATGAGAGGCGCAGCCGTCCTGCAGGGTCAGAAAGACTCATCGGTTAACAGGGCGTCTCTTCACTGTCTCTCTGAGAATCCTTGATCTTCTTGGGTTTTTCGCTGCTGCTGATCGCTGTGTCTGTGCTGGACGGTCTCCAGGCGGTGAGCCTCCTCACCCCTCGCCCTGCCCTGCCTGCCGCCGGGCCTCGTGGATCTCCGGTCAGAGGAACGCCTCCTCGGTGGCTGTGACAGGGGGAATTAGGCGAGAGATGCGGGCCCACTCGCCCTGCCTGCGTAGGGGCTTATCTCGGTCTAAGCTGAGGGACTAATAGCAAAGCCTGCCTTCGCTCCAGCCGCTCTGAGGGCACAGGGAGCCATCTGTCCACTCTGTGGATCACTGAAAAACAAAGGGACCAAACACCGAACTCGGACTTCAAACTAAAAGGCCTTTCATCCCAAAGATACCAGAACCAAAGAAGACGAGTAGGAATTTCTCCCACTCCAAGGTCAGTTTGGTCAAGAGTCGGCCTTCGTGGCTGCAGGTTGCTCAGATGGCTGTTAATGGCAATGCTGAAGCTTAGCCAGAGAGAAACTTGAAGGTATTGCTTCTGCACATCTAATGGGCGCCAGACAAAGCGAGGCTTTGTTTTAACGCGCTGCCCCTGACTCCTATTAGGCTCAGATATTTTCAGCTTCAGCTTGTTTTTCTCTCCTCTCCTGGGTTTTTCTCTTAAACTCTCCACTTCAAACAGCCCAGGATTGTTTGAATTTAGACCTAAAGCCAAACTTCTGATGTATCTCCGTTGTTCTAACCTTCATGCTGAGTTCTGTATCACCTCATGATATGAGGAGGCTCACAAAATGCTATAAATAGTCGCCACTCCAGATAGTCACGCTGTAATCTCTCTCATGGGTTGCTTGAACATTTTTAATGTGGTAATTGTCACATTTCATTAAATATAAAGTGTGCTTTTGTTGATCTGAAGACCCCTTTAAACAAAGTGGAATACAGTTTGTAATATAGTGTCTCATGGTATCACATTGTTCAAAATTAGACATTCCTTGTTTTACTCTTAGATTTTGAATTCATAGTCTAACAAAATCCCTCCAGTAATCCACTTAGACATTGTTCCCCATTTCCCTCCAGGATTAAGGCCCTGTGTGTGTGTGTGTGTGTGTGTGTGTGTGTGTGTGTGTGTGTGTGTGTGTGTGCGTGAGTGTGTGTGTGTTTTAATTGTCTGAGGAATACTTCTGTCTGTCAGCGTTCACAGAGCAGAGTTTCCCCACAGGTGATCTCTTTTTTATCGTGTAAACTCTTCGGTTGCCGTTGTGCATCGGGGTTTTGTTCAGAAGTCTTGACTTGCTTCGGATGACAGAAATAGGTCAAAAGGGTCTTAGCATTAACTAAACAAATCTTGGGCCTGCAGGATTAGAGCGAGACGCCGCTGTTTGTTTGATGTAGCCATTGTACCAACAGAGACGGGAACGCTGTGGATGTTTGCTGAAAGATGTCCGTCTCTCTTTTATTTTTTGTGTGTGTGTTTGATCAGATGGTTGAGCTCCTTGCAGCTTCATCGGTTGGGATTGTTTCATTTCCTGATCCTGTTAATTTACTGCGTTATTTGGGTCAGTTGATCCTGACACATTTCATGATGATTATTGCTAACTGGATTGTGCTGTCGGTGGTCTGACTGACTGACTCAGTTTTTGGTGGATTTATGGAGGAGTTTGAATTAGAAGTTGTAAATTACACAAGTAAACAACAACTACTGAAATACATACAGCAGAAACCTGAAGTTTACATCCAACAAATAAAAAAACACAGAGATTATTTTTTTGTTTCTGTCTGTAAACCAGACCAAATTTCTCTTGTTTTAGGTCAGTTAGAATCACCAAATTTAGTTCTGTTTGCTAAAAGTGGTAATGATGAATAAATATATCAGATTTATTGATTTATATTTTGGAAACCAGAAATTTGCATATGTTTCTTCTGTATTTGGCCTTTGAATTGCATGACTTGGGTCAAACGTTTTGGTTTTCCTTCATCCTTCTCAACAGTTCTGGTTGCAGATCTGGTGAAAGTGGGCAGGCTGCCTCAATCACACACTTTATATCCACTTTAGCTTCTGAGGGTTATTGTCCATTTTGCAGTTTGTTTGGGTTGCATTTACCCAGAATGCCCTGTGTTTTACTTCCTACTTTTGGACTGGGCTCCGGTCCACTTGGCATTCACATATGCATTCAAACTGCATCAGAGTTCATTTCAACCGAGCCGAGACTGAGGTTTGTGGACAGAGTCAGCTTCTTTGGTTCGCATCAGAGTTTGATTGTCATTCACACCTTTGCAAACGAACCAGACTTTCCAGACACAGCAACCAGAATTCAATGAACGTGAACTAAACAGTGCTGAATACCTACCTTGACAGTAGCTTTCAGTTGTTTTGTGTATACACATTAATTCCCTGCCAAAGAACGATTCAGTGGAAGATTTAAGAGCCATGTATTAATATGCGGTTTATGTCCAGGATGGCAGAGCAACATCAAAACATCCTTTAACCGGATTACCAGCAGTGAAGCTCCGCCCATTACTCCAGTTCTGCTGGACATGTAAACCACACGTTCCTGATTGTGTCTGGCAATAACAAAGCAAGATATCCAAGTTCTGTTTCATCGGCACAGCTGGTAAAAAAAAGTATTATTATTATTATTTTTTTCATTTTTGTCTTGAGATCTGGCTGGAAAAGCCATCAGAAGCAGAACATCGGAAGTGAAAAAACTTATGTTTCATGTCATATAAACATTGACCTTCATACAGACAAACAGAAAAGGACTTCATCTGTCTGTCAGCGGGATTCCTCTTTAGCAAAAGACAACAAATCATTTCTCCTGCCAGCGCTAGAAATGCACATTTGTTTTGATTGTATTTACCCAGAATGCTCTACAAGTAGTTTGGTGCTCACACTATGCATTCGAACTGTGGTAAGGGTTATGGTTAGGGTTAGGATAGGGTTACAGTAGGGTTATGGTTAGGATAGGGTTACAGTAGGGTTATGGTTAGGATAGGGTTACAGTAGGGCAGTGCTTCTCAATTATTTTCCGTTACGCCCCCCTAGCAAGAAGAAAACTATTCGCGCCCCCCACTCCCCACCGTGACTATCCATCTCTGCATAACAGTTTTTCTTTATTAACATTTTTTTCGCTGAAAAAACTCTAGCGGCTTATCGGCGTGATTGGGATGTAACGTACTTAAGTGACGCGCTAATTTATTTGGCTTCATGCTGTCCGCTGCGAGCATTTTTAGACACAGCAAACACACCGGTCTTTCCTCTTCTCCAACTGTAGTCACAGTGAAGCCAAGCGCTAAATACGCTTCGTCGTATTTCCTCTTCTTAGCTTTCGGTTGACTTTTTGTTGTTTCATTATCTTTGTCTCTCTCCGCTTTTCTTTTCATCCCTGTGAAAAACTTTTTCATGTTGGGGGTTGTTGAATAACGGAGGCCATAGACAGAACGCAGTCGGAGCTTTTTGTTGACTTAACACTGCTAACCAAGGCAAACCTGTTGTCTTGTAAGTCGTAAAATGTTGCACTGTCGCAAACGTGACAGAAGTAACAATGAGAGCGCCACTGCCGCCTACTGTGCGCAATTACACTTTATACTAGTTCGGCCAAAAAAAAGCCTGTTCCCCACGATCACACGCCCCCCAAAGGGGGCCCACCCCACTATTTGAGAAGCACTGCAGTAGGGTTATGGTTATGGTAGGGTTATGGTTACAGTAGGGTTATGGTTACAGTAGGGTTAGGGTTATGGTAGGGTTACAGTAGGGTTAGGGTTCTTTTCGACAGAATCTGGACCGAGGTTTATCAGAGGACAAGAGTTCACTTTACTGGTCCACATCAGTTCGAGGACAGATTCACATCTCTCCAAGCAAACTGAACCTTTTAGTTTAATGAACTGGAGTTTCATTAAACTAAAGGGAGCTGGTGGGAATGTTCACTGAAATCCAGACTGTCTCAGACTGAAATTACTTCCCTCCCTCGCTTTGATTAGTTTGCTAATTAGTTATGCATCGTCATTCGTAAGAGTCTGAAGAATAACTTCTCAGAACTCTGATAATCTTACAAACACTATGACTTTATAGAGCTGCAGCTGTGAGGTCCAACAAACTGCTGTAATGCATCACCATTCTTTATTTGTTCCACAAATATAAAGAATTGGACACGCAGCAGAAACAGAGTGGACACTGTGTGGTGTTTCAGAGGAAAGTCACACTCTGATCACTTGATTCCAGACAGCACAAGTGGCTTCCTTTGTGTCTCATCTTATCCCAGGGAGTCACACAACTTTTATTTAGCTGGAACTAAAGACACGTGAAGATTGCAGCGTGTGATAGGCTTATCTCCACCCCCGACTCACAGCTCCACGATGAGAAGCCAAACAGCAGCGATCCATAACGCCTCAGACAGCATCCAGCCCTGATAAACTCTCCAAAGAATCCTTTAAACAGGATGAAAGCAGCGGCTCAAACTTTGGAACGTGCTTCACTTTCTGCAAGTTACAACCTAAAAAGCTGCTTTAGTTTATTTGCTTCTTATTTGGTAGACAAACGTAAAATTATGTTGAATTCTTCAATATTGATAAAACATTCTAGTTCCACTGACAGATTATTTCGATATGAAAATATGAGAAAAATATTATGAATGGAATCATTTTCTAATGAAACTAATATGTTTATCATCAGTATTATTTATTTACTTTATATCAGCTCCTATATTTTGCTGAAAAGTTACTTTTGAAACATTTTTGCTTATTTCCAGTGTCCTAAGATAAATTGCACTATTTATGATTTTAGACATAAATACTTGGTCAGATTTTGGATTTTTACAGTGAAGGTATTTGTTAAGAAAAGATTTTTTGTAAAGACATTATACCAAAGGGCTGTTAATAAAATGTTCAGCTCCTTTTTCAGACATGTATTAATTTATTATTCCCGTTCACCATCCCTGCCTTGTGTTGGTTTGTCAGATAAAATCCCAATAATACACACTGATGCTAAGAATTATAATGTGACAATGTGCTGTAAAGTTAAGTGGGCGTCCATACTTTTGCCAAGAGCTGCAGGTGTTATTAAGGTCCATCCATAACGACTCAAGAGAATTGCCATTTCTACCACAGAATAAAAGCTTTTACCTTTGCTTCGTCAGGTTGCTCTTTCGCAGAAGAACGGTTGAAGACAGGAAATGATTCACTTCATTTTTCCTTTGCTGATACCAATGTATGACATGGCCATTAGCACGAGCATCTGAATCTTCTTAAGTGGAAATACATGGAAGTAGAGCCCGAAATAGACGCATACCTGATCATTTCTCCTCAAACAGAAACTCAGTGATACCTGAAGAAAGAAGAAATCCAGATGAAACTGCACCGTCGGATGTGGCTGATTTCCTCCTCAATTTTACACATCATTTCCTCCACATCCTGAAGCATTAAACCACTAACACACAGACACGTCTTCGTCCTCTCTGCACAGTATTCACCACAAAGATCTGAAGTCACTGAGGATGTCCGACAAGGAAGAGATGACCTTGGACGGCGGCCTGAACGTCACGCTAACGCTGAGGCTGCTGATGCACGGAAAGGTAATCAGCAGATCCTCTGCAGCCCATCTGATGTGATTTCATTCTGACGCCACGTTGTTCACCTCTTATTCCTTTATTTTCTCTCACAGGAAGTGGGCAGCATCATTGGAAAGGTCAATTTCATTTACATTTATTGTTTTTGTACTTGCTAATTAAATTTGCCTTAAAACACAACATGTATATTTTTAATCTCTTTGCTTTCAGAAAGGAGAAACGGTGAAGAAGATGAGGGAAGAGGTGAGTATTGTTTGAAGTCATCAGTCAGAACAAAACAAAGTTTGAATGACCAACAGCCCGGGTTTGCAGAGCGGCGCCCGCATCAACATATCAGAGGGGTCGTCTCCTGAGAGGATAGTGACCATCACCGGACCCACAGAGGGAATCTTCAGAGCTTTCTCCATGATCGCACAGAAGTTTGAAGAGGTACAGATTCATCCTCAGAAGTTATCGGGTCAAAGGTTAATGAGTTCCAACTCCAGAATACAAAAACACACCTTAGATTTGTAAATATTATTTAGACTTTTATCTCAGAATTCTGACTTTTGATCTCAAGATGAAAGTCGGATGTTTTCTACCCAAAGGCCACTAACAGGTTATGAAGCAAATACAAAAAAATGTATTCAAGAAACTAAGTGCACCAAAGATTGAAAAGCTCGACAGCTGATTTCCATATATGGGCCTTTCAGCTCATATAGTGCTTCATTTCCTGCATAATTCAGTTTGGCCCATCAGTTTCACATTTGACTTTAAAATCAAATTCAGTTGACACATTAACTCATGGATGATCAGTGGCTGCAAAGCAAGCCCAAATCACCACCCCTCCCCCACCGTGCTCAACAGTGTGAAGGTTTTTATTCTGTATTTATGACCAAAAGTCTCCAGAGGAGATTGTTCAAGAAATATTGCCATCTTGACAACATGTCCAAACAAGCCATTGACATTGGGTCTTTCTGCTGCATTTCTGCCATGAACTTTAATATTTTATGTCTCATGTCGAAGCAAACTGAATGGTTGCCCGGCGGCGTCAGAGGTACATTTGATCTGCAAAGTTTCCCATACACTGCAAAAACACAAAATCTTTTTTGGACTGATTTAAAGTACATTTATCACTAGACACTGGAAACAAGACAAAACTAACTTACAAGTAACTTTTCAGGAGCTTGTTTTAAATCAGTTTTTTTAATATCGATGAAAAAGTTCTTCCTCCATTGTCAGATTATTTCACATTTTTTCTATAAGCAAAATAATCTGCCAATCCACCAGCACTTTCCATCATCAATATTAAGGAATTACTAACTTAAAACAAGATCAAATATCTTGTTGAAAAGTTAATTATAAGTTAGTTTTGTCTCATTTCAAGTTTACAAAGATATTTACAGCAGAAACCAAAAACACTCGGCAAGACTTTGTTAAATTAAAATACATGATGAGTCTTGTTTGTCAGATTAAATCTACCTTTGGAAAATAACCTCTTGGCAGGAATTAGAAATATTTTTTCTATTGGTCTGATGTAATATTTTGTTCATCAACTGGAAGTGGAAAAATTATCACAATTAACAGAACTTAAGCTTTCAACCATGCATCTGTGTGCAGTTAATCCATATTATATGTTTCACTTAGTGATGAAGTTCCTGAACTTTTCAGTTTATTCTAATTTATTGAATGGGTTTGTACTGTATAACTAAAGCAAAAGTAGAAAAAATAAGAAAATAAAGAAAACAAAAATGATAAACATTAATACATCCATCAGCCCAGATTAAACAGGAATGAAGGGATTATATGATATCAGAACTTGGTAAAATCCTAGAAGTGAATACTTTCTTTTCTTTCCGCCATGACTCCATATCAACGTCCATCATTCTCTTTTACAAAAACATTCCCAGAAGCGTTTTCATTCCTCCGGCTTTGCAAAATAACTGAAAAGGACACGTCAAGCTGAGCTGACGTTCTGTCGGTTCAACAGAGGAAAAAACTGCGACATATTTTTGAATTCCCCCCAGGATATCACCGCAGCCATGACAAACAGCAACGTGACAAGCAAGCCACCTGTGACACTTCGTCTGGTTTTCCCAGGGAGCCAGTGTGGCTCGCTCATCGGCAAAGGAGGCTCCAAGATCAAAGAGATCAGGGAGGTACGGTTCTGCTTGTCCTCCTTCTTTTCGTTCGTTCGTCTGAACCCACACAGGAATAAAAAATCCTCTGAGACGCAGAAATCAAACAATTCTTGTTTTTTCTGCTGCGTCTGAAAATAACACCCTGTATGCACAATTAATATTACAATTAATATTACAATTAATATTACAAAATATCTGCAGTCCTCGATATGAGGACTGATTCCTAGTGTTAATATCTTATTGCACTTGAAATAAGACAAAACTAACTGACAAGAATTACTTCAGCAAGACATAAGGGAATTTTACAAGTAAATTATTTCTTAATGTTGACGTAAAAGTTCTGGTTGTTTTTACTTTTGTAATTTCTACTGAAATAATTTGTCAATGGAACTAGAGTTGTTTTAAATCAGTATCAAGGAGTTACTTAAATTAAGCTTCTACATCTCCCCGATAAGTTACTTTTAAGTTATTTTTGTCTTATTCAAGAGCTCTATTTCCACTAGAAACTGCAGATACTTGGTGAGATCCTGCATTGTGCCTGTATGGATCAGTTTGAGCCTCAGGTCCAAATGGACAATATTTGCGAGTGTCTCTTCAAATATTGGAGCATGCTTTGCCTTTTAGGCTGCAGCTGCTCCCTGCAGGTCACACAGTGTTTGGGATAATCTTCTGACAGCTTTTCAGCGCCTTATTTTCAGGAATAAACAGCCTTTGTCTCGTCTGTGTTTTGGGTTGATGTGAAGACCACAGGCGCTCAGGTTCAGGTGGCAGGAGACATGCTGCCGGACTCCACAGAGCGGGCCGTCACAATCTCCGGCACTCCACAGGCCATCACTCAGTGTGTGAGGCACATCTGCTCCGTAATGCTGGAGGTGAGTTCTGCTGCCGGTTCTGTGGCTGGAAACGTTTCGGGTTCAATCTGGAAATATAGAATATGTTCAGTACTAATGAGCCTCGAAAGCAAAATGAAGGTTTTTGCTTTTGTTAAAAAAATCCAAAACAGAAATAAACGTCGGTGCATTTTCTGTCATATTTTACTGGCAGCAGGTTTGCATTCATGTTCTAATTCCTTATCCATTCTATCAGTCGCTGCCTGCTGAGTGTATGAACCTCTTTGTTTTGCTTCTTAGTGTTTCTTGCAGCCTGTCAGCTGGAGAAGTTACTGTTAATGTATTCCTGCTGCATCAAGCGCAGCTCTGGGTTTGGATTGGAGCTTCAACTTGCTCCTAATTATGGGTTCTGCTCACAGCTCTCTATGCTTCAGGGTCTCATGTTCCTTTCACTGCAGATGTACAGGGCCTAAAAATGCTGATTGAGTGGTATAAAGTAGCGGATCAAATGCACCGCTGCCAGCTGTGGGAGTGCATAATGTTTTCTCCTCTATGGTTTGCTCGCCTGTGCCTCCAGTCTCCACCGAAAGGAGCAACTATTCCTTACCGTCCCAAGCTCCTTCCTGCCGGAGCTCACGCTGTGTTGGCCCCTCAGCACTCTGCACAAGTAAGTGGTCAAACAGGAGTAATCAGTCTTTTAAGGTATATGAAAATTAAACAAATGCAGCACCTGAATAACACCGGTCAATAATCACCAGAGGGACTCGTTTGTGAGAACAAAGTGCTCTGAGGTAATATCTTCATGTAGAGACATAATAAAGGAAAGATGTTAAGGAGGCTGAAGGCAGAAGATTATGTGGAAATATGTGACTTTTGCAACGTCTTGCATCACTTTTTACATTGTCACATAATTGTTACTGTATTTTAAAAGGATTTCAAGGATAAACCAGATTAGCAACTTTTTCTGTCCTGCAACAACAAAATAAAACTCACCTACAGCTAAAAACCCTCACCTTTTCAATGTTTAGTTACGTTTTACTAAAAAAGCCAGCAAAGTTAATTTAAAATGTATTTTTGCTTTCAGATTTTACACCAAAATGGTTTGTTACAAAACAAAAACTATTTTCTAGAATGAAGTGATCTGAAAAATGAAGGCGGAAAGGTCACATAGTTTGAAGCCAGTTAGTTTATTACAGATATTAAATGCAAATTTTGCATAAGAAACTTACTGAAAAGCTCCTCATCTGACCGTTTCTTATTGCATCCATTTGTTTGGCTTTGAGAGCTGCAGGTTGCTCACCCTCACGATGAACTAACACGCATCACATTTTCATTTAGCACTTCAGAAACGGCCAAAGTCTCAACATGAAGCTGTTTGTCTTTGAGTCAACGCATCTCAGTGAGAGCCCAGGATTTCACCATGAACAACATCACTGACATCTGTGTGAAATTTCCATTTTTACGCCGTCTTCCAGACACTTCCGTCATTTCAGCAACCGCTAAATAATTTAAACTACACTTCATTTTGGATTTAGCTGAAGCAAAAATCAAATACTGAGTATTTTTAATTGGGTTAATTTTACACTTATGTTTCAAAAAGAAAACAAAAAAAAAGACATGCATATTTTCCAAAAATGGAACAACTAATGAATAAACCATACACATACTTTTGAGCTATTTTGCCAGGGAGGATGAACAGATCTCAGTTTGCAGACATTCAAAGCCAGTAGAGAACTGCAGCTGGAACAAAGTTTGGACTCTGGGGGGTTGAATACAAAACAAACACTACATCCTCTTATTTTTCTCAGTGAAAAATATGTATTGCTTCCCCTTCAATTCACAATTATGTACCAAGCTATTAAAATATCCACAGGTTTGTGGCTGCTGCATAACAAGATGTGTAAAAAGTGAGAGACATGAGTTGTTGCACGGCAGAGAGAAACCTGGAAGACGGGCTGCGTGTAAAGTTCACGTGTTGGTCTGCCTGGCAAGCTGCTGTCCTAAATTTTGGCTGTGTGCGCTTTGACCTATCAGACATCTGTTTATGTTATTGGATTTCAAGCCACAGTCAAAGGGGGCAGAAAAACAGCAGATGACATTTAGATGAAATTCCATCAGATCCATACACATTAGAGGCGGGAAGGGAATGGATTTCCACTGCGCCCGGCCGGGTCACACTTCAGACTCGGCTGCTTCTGTTTCGTGTTTCATGTTCCGACATGTCAGTTAGTCACTCTTTGTGTCTTGTGTCCTTCCAGGCGTTTGCAATTCCAGGACAGTATGCATTTGCACATCAAGATGTAAGTAGAGCCAGTCTGAGCGACCGCCGTCCGTCCTAACGATCTACTCCTGCCCACTCCTTCCAAGCGCACCAATACGCCCTTTCTGTGTCCCACTCTGCAGAGAGGAAACTTCAGTAACCCTGATCTGTTGACATGACTAACACTAACCCACTGTAGTAACCTGCATTGATTGAAATGGAAATGATCTCATTTATGATCAGTTGTGACTGTATTCTGCATGCTTTCTAAAGGCAGATTGATCTCTTTCACACTGACACCATCTGTGATGTTTGTGAACTTCAGATTGTAGTTTTCAGCTCCTCTGAAATAATCCACTTTGATTGGTTAGCTCTAACTTCCTTCCTACCCTGCAGTTGACCAAGCTTCACCAGTTGGCTATGCAGCATATCCCCCTCCCTTCCCTTGGGCAGAGCAACCCTACCTTTCCTGGTACGTACCCACGGCTCCCCGGGGAAGTCCATCTATCCCTCTGTCTTCACTCCTCTCGGAAATCACCGCCGTTACCTCAGTGAGGATCAAGGATGTCTCCATACTCGGAGTTTACAGACTCTCTCAGGTTTTTATCTTTGTAGGTGGTGGCTTTTCTAGTCGTACTCTGCTTTTTGCAGATGAAAGGAGAGAGAAAAAGGCAGCCAGTTTAAAGGTCAAGCCACCAGAGTATTGTTTCATCAATAATCCTGAAAGTTAGCCACTGAGATATTTACACTCTGAAGGGGAATATTTTAGACGGAAGCAGACAGACTGAGATATTTCAGAGTCCTGGCAGCTTCTTTGGGCGAGGAAAATGGGAAAAATGACAGGAATATTTACAGATCAGTAAATATTCCTCACAATTTCTCATCAAGTTTAAGCCCATTCACCCAGTGACCCCCCCATCCAAAAAATCCTTTACCTTCACAACATTTCTCCTATAAATCTAACATCATCTTGGCCACATCATCCCCGACCTCAGTCGTCCCAAACTCATTTAATCTGCCCCGACTAACCACAAACATTACACTGCATCACAAGCTGCGTCTCCGTTCACCATATTATTGTGCAAAATAAAAACACGGCAGTTTTGAAAGAGAAAAATCCTCATGCATTTTAATAAGTTTTTGCTGTAGGATGAGTTGTTTTGTCAGCTGTATCAATATATAAAACTGCAATATAAACATCTTTTTTGCATCACATTTCATGTGATCAACAACCGGATGTTAGTAAAGGCGGAAAGATGAAAAAAGGCAACAGGAAGTGGCAGAAGGATGACGGCAACATGCTTTTTAATGATTTATTGTCTGAACAAACTTATTTATGTATGACTTTATTTGCGTTTCTTATTTAATGGAAACACCGCGATAATGAAAGTGTTTTCTTGACATTCGTGGAATATCGACGTTATGCGCCTATTTGGACTGGAAACGCAGCAAACGGAAACACAGATCCACATCCAGGTGCTTCTCGGTCACTTAGAACGTCATCAAACGTTTGGTTTATTTTACAATTTCAAGTTAAGAAAAGTGAAACTCAAATTATAGAGATACAAAACACAGAGTGGTATATTTCTAAAAGGTTAGCTTTTGGTGTATGCAGAGTGATCTGTGCAAGAACAGTATTTTAAAATTGAGCAGAGAGAAAAAGTCTCCAACTTAGTCCTTTGTTCTGCAACTTTTCTATACAGCTGAATCAAAGGAAAAATGATTGCTCAGGTGGTTTCAAAACGTCTTGACTTGTCCAGGAGGAAATTCATCCAAACAGCGGCAGCAGCAGAACTCAAAGCCTGGACTTGGTGCCGATGGGTGGGTGTGGCTGTCAGGACGGGATGAGATGAACTGAAGGTTTTAACCTGGACTTCCTGAAGGCCTCAGCAGAACCACAGGCTGATCGGCTCCATGTCACGCCGCATTGATGGAGTAATTCATGCAAAACGAGCCTCATATGCTGAGTGCATATGCTGTGCTTCAACATGAATTTCATTATTTCTGTATGAACAAATAGATCACCTCACTGCAAAAAATGTTACCAGGTAAAATCTGGTCGAGTTTCTATCATATCTTAGTGCACTTGAAGACAAAGACTTACAAGTAACTTTTCAGAAAGATAGGAGCTTAAAGCTCCTGGCAGATTATTTCACTTCTTACATGGAAAAATGTCTCGTCAGTGAAATAATCTGCCAGTGGAACTAAAACTTTTTCATTAATATTAAGACACAGTTGACATAAAACAAGCTCCTTCATCTTTCTAATGAAGATATTATTTTAAGATATTGGCATTAGAGTGTGGAGCAGAAATACTTTGTAAGATTTTGTTTTTGCAGTGCAGCCTCCTTTTCTTCAGGATGTGGGCCGCAAGTTTCCATCTCACTACGACATTTCTTTATTTAAATTCTCCTTTTCTGTTGCTCTTAAACTAAATTAGCTTTTTTTTCTTTAGCTGTAATCAGAATTAAGTGCTTGAAATATAATCACTCTGTGTAATGAGTGCTTACACTCATTTGAGTTTCATTTTTTTTAAATAAATGAACTTTTTGATGAGATTCCATTAGACGGAGAAGCAGCTGCACATTAGATTTCAGGTTTTATGCGATAGCAATCCTCAACTCCGATTTAAAACTGCAGCAAGAAAAAGGATGAGCTCTGTGTATATGTTTGTAATTTATATGTTCAAGATGCATAGTAGTCGTGACCCAGCCACGTTGATGTTTCATGTCCTGAATGTGTGAACCACCAGCACAATGCTGTTATTAGCGCTTCTTGTCCTACTTTGCAGGACTGGATGCTTCTGCACCCACCAGTACACAGGAGCTGGCAATTCCTAATGATGTAAGTGCTCCACTGTTTCACCAACACTTGCATCCTCATGCGACCGAGTTCATTAAAACTTTCTCAGAGACGAGTTATGATGGGAGATGTTGGGACGCACACATCTGAGCAACAAAAAGTAATTCTATTTTTTTCTTGGTCGACAGATATTACTTCATAAATTCAGCCGCTGCATTGTCAGAGGAGTTGTCGGCAGCATCGCTGAATATTACCACCCATAAATAAAGCTAGCTAATTTCAGGTCAGGGATGCAGAGAGCTGTTCACTTAGTACAGATCAGATTAATGACACATTTCAACCAGTTAAAGGTGGAAAGTTACTCAGACTGCATCTAAACAGATATTTAAACCAGGATTGTTGTAAATAGATAAATACGCCCTTTTAAGATTACTCAAAATTATGTCTCTTGCATTCCTCATTTCTGACTGATATTTTATATTTCTGTCATGTAAAATATTTAGTCTGAAACCATACATTTAGTTCTTAAACTATATGTGTATTGTTAGATAAATACTTATCCAAACCAAACTTTTCATTTTCAAACTAAATGTTTACTTTCTAAAATTATTTAGCCCAGACCTGAAATGTAGGAATAATATGGTGAAAATGTGAGTGAAAAATGGACACATTTCAACTGTAACTTTACAAACTGATTTTGGTTTTGGAGGAGTTTGAACGAGTCACTGATTTGAGCAACATATTAAATAACTGTGATCCACTGAAGCAGCAGCTGCATTATTAGAAAAAACAATAATTCAGACTCATGTTTAAAGTCATTGTTTTGTGTGAAAATGAAGCTGCTTGCATTCTGAGACCTGCAGGTTGAAAACAAAGCGAAGGCCACTCAGCCCTGATTTGGCCCTTCAAGCTTCCCGTCATCGCTCTGTCTGGTTAATGAAATGCAAAAGCAACAAAGTGCCTGTCTGACCATTTTGCTGGCCGTCTTTCTGGAGGCTTCTTGTTTCCAGGCAACCGACTGAGAATCAGGAAGGAGTCAAACAAGTAACCTTTCCCTAAAATTGTGGATTGTCAGTCAACACCAGTTCAGTTTACAGACCAGCATATTGAATGGAAAACGAGTCAGAAAATTCACGGAAACGTTGAGAATTAACGGAGATTAAAAGCCAAACTTCTACTGCGCTGATTTGCTATCAAATCCCGCTTCACTGCACAGACCAGACTTTGTTGATTAGATATGAACAGAGGTAAAAATCACAGAGAATAGAAGGAGAACGGGGTTGTTTTGTTGTCGCTTCCGCGGCTCTTATCTCCTGCTGTCAGATCTAATTCCTGGACAGCTGAAATATGAGCTCTTTTGTTATTTACATGCTTCCAATCTCCTCCCGCTAGTTTATTGGCTGCATAATTGGAAGACAAGGCAGCAAGATCAATGAGATTCGCCAGGTCTCTGGAGCGCACATCAAAATTGCCAGCGCCACTGATGGCTCAGCCATGCGCCAAGTCACGATCAGCGGCTCTCCGGCCAGCATCGGCGTGGCCCAGTACCTCATCAACGCCAGGTGAGACATTACGCAGCGCGGCCACGTCCCGCCGCGCCGCGTCCCGCCGCACCGTGCGCTTCACACCGCAGCCTGATGATAAGACATCCAAACTGCGCTGCTGTAAAGGGCAGATTTGTTGTGTTTCTGGATGAAGCTGGATTTGTTCCAACTCACTGCTCTGCTCTGTTGACTGCATTAAAATGCTTTCCTTCTTTTCTTTCCTTCTTCTTAAAGCTCATTCTTTGATTTTTGTGTTTTCTCATTCCTGGTTGTAATAGTTTAGTTTCACTGTGACTTTTTGCCCAGTTGAGGTTTTTTTTTTTTTAAGTGATCATTTGTTAAATATTTAGTTTTTATTCATGTGTAGCAGGTTCAGTTTTTTCATGTTGGTTTTTAGGTGATGATTATAAAAAAGTATTGCATTGTGATTATCAACAGAGTGACAAATACAACAGTTTTCCAAACATGTATTGATTTATTGTCAAACTGTAACTATTCTGGTGTTTTGCAGTGTAAATTATATCAGTAGTATGAAACTGGTTATTTGGAGGAAAAAAGCCAAACTATTTTACATAAGTTTGAGAGGCTAATAAATTGATTAATTAACACAAAAATTAAAGGATACTATATCTTTAATTTCAGTATATTTCAGGTAAAACATGGTTCCAGTTAACAAAAATGTTTTCTCCATTTCAGTTTTATTATTGGTAGCTAAGTATCTCTTCTTTTTCTTGTCTTTTTGAATCGTTTCCGCCCTCTGGACTCCAGCTTAGAGATGGCTAAATACACCATGCAGGTCGCGTCCTCTGTGACCCCCGTTGACCTCAACATGAGCTTCTCTCAAACGGCCCCCACCGCCTCCAGCGCCGCCACCTCCATGGCCGTCCTGGCCGCCTCCAACCCGACGCCCTCCGCCATGAACGCCTCCACCCTGCCGGCCATCCACAGCCCCCACTACGCGCTGCCCGTTTCCAGCCTGCTGGGGATGAAGACGCTCCCCGTCCTCACCGTCCATCCGGCAGCAGCTTCCAGCCTAACTCAGGGTTTGACCCCTTATACTGCAAAAATGTCCACGTCTGGTGCAAAGAAATCTGACCGGCAAAAGTTTTCTCCTTATTGATGCCGCCTCGTTAAATCCACAGGGCCAGTCAGAAGTTCACATACACTTTTTATTATCATTTTATTTGGGTTATGATTACAGATATGTACACAAACCACAGCTGATGTTTGGTTAAATCCACCAACAACCTTCTGCACAGATAAACATTTAAACCAATGCAGTCAATTGATTGAAATAATCAGATTAATCCCTTATGCTTAACTTTGCAAACTTGAAATATAAATATACACGGAGTTATGTTTCTTGCAGGAATGTTGTCCTTCCTTCTGCCGCAGCACATCCACTTAAAACGCAAACAATTGTCAGTTTTTTTATTTTTGCATCAGAAAACAGGTAATGTGGTTTCCCAGAACTCAACAGCAGCTAAAGAGAATTTACTCCACAACATGCAAACAAGTAGCAGCAACTTGTTCCTGAGACAAAGTCCAATATCTCTGGCTGACTGTGTGTAAAGTCTCTGCATTACTGGGTGAACTTTAGTAATAACTTTTCAGATAAATAATGTAAATCTACAGTGGCGTTGTTGGGCCTTTATGGATGAAAAAATTTGTGAATTTACGCAAAAAGTTGTAGAAACCTTACGATGCCATCATTGTTTTGGAAAATGTGGAATTTTTTTTATTTTTTTGGAAAAGTTTAAAATTTGTGCAAAAGATTTTCTACAAGAAACTAAAATTTTTATACCGAAGAAAATTGTAAATTTTTCTAGAAATTTTCTGAGATTAATCTAAAAAAATCTGAATTTCTTTCTAGCTAATTTTTCAAAATGTTTGTTTTTTTGTTGCTGATTTCTGAAATTAATCTAAAAATTGCAGATTTTGACTCCATATTTAATTTCTCTATCTACAGTGGTCCTAATACGCAGTCGTATAAATCAAATTTATGTCACTATTAGTGTATGTAAACTTCTGAGCAGCCTTCTCCTCAGTACCTTCCTGATAAGACTTTATTAAAAGATGGCAGATATTTTAATATTAACATATAGAAATGAAGACACAGATGCTGATAGATATTTTCCAGGAGTTCCTTTTGTTTTCCATAAACCAGGAGGATATTAGAGTCGGACTGAAATGGCAGGAGGATTAAACAAGTCTTCGTTAATTAAGAGTCGACTGAGGTCTGTGAAAACATCCTGATGTCATGTGAACATGCAGAATAATTAAAGTGGATAACTCAGGCTTTTATTAGTATCCCAGGGAATATATAAATATATTAAATGAGCTTTAAAGGAGCACTTACTCCTGGAGTAGGAGTTTCCATAAAGTGTGTTTCTATCTGTGTAACTTTTTAAAACATTAGATTAGAGGTTATCACCTAGGACCAGACGGTGTGGTGCTTTGAAAGACTGTGAAGTGGTTTGTTTGTACAGTGAGTGTTTGCTGTTTTTAATGAAGATTGGCCCGTCCTGCGTCATGCGTGTCTTTGTTTCACTGTGGGCTCTCATCAGCGCTAACAGGCTCGGGAGGCCTGTAGTCTCGTTGCACTGTGGCGGCTCTGATGGGATTATCGTAAAGCCACAGTGGATTCACAGCTGAATTCTCCTCCAGTAATCCCAGGACTGGCCTGAAACGCGTTTGCTGGTTCGGTTCGGCTTGTTGTTTGTTCTCCAGCGTGAAAACAAGGAGAACGCCTCCCGGATCTGAGCTCACATCAGTTGTTTTAAATGAATGTTTTATTCATCTCTCCGATGCGGGCATGCACTCAAACAATGGCGTATTTGTAAGATTTGTAAATAAAATGACTTGGAAATAAATGGAACTTTTTATGAATGCAGCTTGGTTTCGTTTTTGATTTTGTTAACGGGGAAAATCTTTCATATGCCACTGATTTCTCTGACTGCTTAACATGAACGCAGACCTGGAGGATTTATCCCTCGGTTAATGGGCTTTGACGGATCACATTTCTGCTCCAGGGCCGTGTAGTAAAAGCAAAAAAAAAAAAAATAAAACAAGATATACTTATGAGTAAAGTCAAAATGACAACTCATATAAATTCACTCCTGGCTGGATGCTTGAACCTTTAAACTCACAGTTACAGTCACTGGGAAAATCACTCATATCAGGAGATTTATTTCTCTTTATTATTGAATAGATATTTTGAATGTTTCTGTGTGTTTTGTTTTGTATTAACTGCGGTGATGACAGCGATGAATGTGTGTGCAGAGCAGCGTCAGACCAGATGCATTTTTAATCTTTTAAAATAAATAAAACAAAGACAAAGCAGAAATATTGTGTTTTTAAAACCTCTGCTGTTTTTAAGAGAGGTGATGCTAATAAGTTTATCAAATTAAACAGTTGTTGTTTATCTGTGTGCAGAGTACAGATATGTTGTCAACACACAGATGAATTGAAGAATAAATGTTGTACTTTGACTCCTGCTAGAAATATTTGTAAATGAGATGCTAAATTGTCGATTTAAATTAAATTCACCCAAAGGTCAGACTGCGCAAAGTTCAGAGGAATTACAAAAACGTCAAAGAGCTCCACCTCAGCCTCAGTTAGCTGATAAATATTAAAGTTTATGACAGAACAGTTGGAAAAGTTTAAACTATAAAGTTTCTTATGGTTTCCAGGAGAAACACCAAACAGAAACATTTGATGTTGTATTATAGCTCAACAGGTCTTGCCATACTCAGTTCGTCAGTATAGTATTAAATGTCTTACCGTATATGTTGATTCTTTTGTATTTAATTTTTTCTGTTGCTTGTGCTTTGAGGTTTGGATCTTTTTCTTAGCTTTGCTGTTTCTCTCGTGTCTTCTGGTTCCTTTACGTCTCAGTTCGACTCGCTGCGTTAATTTTTCACCTTCCTTCAGTTTTCCTCCCCTCTGCAGCTGTTTTTGATCACCTGATTCTCCTTCGGCTTTTCCCATTTACATCCAATTATTCCTTCTGGTTGCTTTTTGTCATTTCTGCTGCAGATTGTAAACCGTTTGCTCTTTTTGTTCATTCCTCTCATTATTTCTCTGTTTTCATGCTTGTTTCTTATTTTCACTCCACTTCTTGTTAGCCTGCGATTCTCCGTCTAAGATTTTCCTTTGTAGTTCAATGATTGTGCTGCAAAATGGCACTATGTGTCTGGAAAATACATAAAACTGACCTTTTAATGGGAATTGTTAATGTTTGCTGAAACAAATATGACCTAATGAGGATACGTAGATTAAACGTTCATTTTTTTTCAGGGGGAAATTTTGTTTGTACAATAAAATATTGATTTATTTTAAGCTTTTCTTTGTAATAGCGGTGCTGATAAAAGTGGAGGCTGCTGTAAATTAGTTTTATGGCTAAAAGCCATAATTTTACTTTACACAGCATTCCACCTTTGCATGAAAAAAACCCCCCATACTATTACACAGATAAGAAGAAATAGTTGCAAAAAAAGCTTCAAACACAAAACTCCACTTCGACATCTTTAACCTTTCTTTGCAGAAAATTCTCACAGACAGTTTCAAAGTATGAGCCCAAGATTTATTCAGACAAATGCAAATTAAGGATCCCCTATTTATGAGTCATGGTTCTGAATAATGACTCTGAAAAGTCAAGTTTTACAGTTATTTTTTTGTAGAAATGAAAGATATCTTAGAATCAAATTCACTCATTTTTGAAGAATATCCCATTTATGCTAATTTGATCTACTTTCCAAACAGTGTTCGACAGACACCGTGCTCACAGATGGCTGGAAAATCCACAGAATCACAATGTGTCGAGGATACTTTTGCAAAAGAAAGACAAAACAAAACAAAAGGTTCAGGCTGAGGCCAGAGGAAGTGGCACGGCTCGAAAACAAGAAAACGCAGAGAAGTAGAAAACCGACACGGCAGGCACACAGACAATCTCACAGACAAATAGTGTTGGGAATAAAACTGTATCCTACAGGGGGAGACGGGCGAGCTGAAGTCAGGGAAGCAAAGGATCATGGAGGATCAGGTGGGAAATCAGGGTCACTGAAATGTTTGAAAGGAAAACGTAGAAAAACAGCGTCTGACCTCGTTTTGTCTCTATATTCACCTGCAGAAAAGACAAATATTACTTTTTAATGAACATCATACTGAACGAACAAATATTGCGCATATGGAAGTGGGGCTGTGGTTTTCAATTCTTGAAAGCTATTAATGCAAATCTGTACAGCAAACAGACGTCTGAGGTCATATTTCCTGTTTTTCTTTCTTTATCTGCATAAAAGCAAACGGCTGCTGTCCAGGATGAGTCAACCCAACGAAACCGACTTTTATTTCTTAAAAAAGGAAAAACTTACCTTCACTGAGACCAAAACTCTGCAGTGCAGAATAAGTATTCACACCCCGTCTCATTCCAGCCTCTATCTTCTGAGTATTTTAATGGGATTTTTTGTGATTTGTGTCTTCAGACATGCTGAAGAGGAAGCAAAATCATACCTGGTTTTTAAATTTGTGCTCTATTTTGAGTTTTTCTGCGTCTTCTAGTTTTCAACTAAATTAATGAATTTTTTTAGAGATGGAAAACTTCTGCAAATATCAGTTTTCAAGTTTCCAACTGAGTTTTCAATCTCAGTTGGATTTAGGCCTGGACTTTGACTAGGCCATTCTAACACATGGAAATTCTTTGGTTTAAACTGTCCTACTTTATTTTTGGTAATATGTATTAGTTTGTGCTGGAAACTGACTAAAGTCTTTCCTCAGTGTTTTTCCTTTATGTTGCGCCATCCATGTTCCCATCAGCACATCCCCACATCATGATGCTGCCGCCAACATGTTTCACTGCAAGGATGTTTGCAGCATTAGTTTTCCACCACCTTTAGCTGCTGGCTATATGTTTTCAAAAAAGTTTGTCTTCTACAACTTCTGTGTTTTCTACAAGGTTTGTGGCTAAAAGCGAACAGGACATTTGATTCTTTTCTTATATGAAAAAAAAAACAGACTCTTTCTCGGTTTCCCATAATTTGCTCAAAAAACCTTCTGATTGTTGGTCCTGGAATAATTTAACAAAATCAGAACAACTCCAGTCATTTATTACCATGAACGAATTAAAAGTCTTTTTAAAAAACTGTTCAGCTGAAGAATGGAGCTGCTGTCTTCCTTCCTTTAAGTTTTTATTGATTCTTTTTCAATCTTGTTTTAATTGTCTGCACCTTTTTAATCATTTTATTTTCTATACTGTACACTGATGTGTCTCTTTGCCAGGTTTCCCTTGAAAAAGAGATTTTATCTGAAGGGACTTTCAGGTAAAATACTGATTTAAAAATACAAATGAATAAATACCAGCTGTATTTGTGAAATTTCTCCCTAAAAACTACCCAGACAGTAAAATAGAACAAACCGAAGTTAATAATGAAAAGACGGGAGCATATGGACATTTCTGCAAGATGCTGCAGTGTTTGGATGTTCAAAGTGGTCTGTGCTGTTTGGATGGCAGAAGGTGTAAAGCTGCTGCCCAAACCAACTTTTCCAACTGTACTTTATGGGAGCAGCACAAACAAAGCCAGACTCACCTCACAGTAAATATTCAGTGCAGGCTGCAGGAAAACTCTCCTGGGGTCTCAAAAAGAACAACTTAACCTGCGATTTTCAGCTGGAGCGAGCTTGCTAATGGGTTAGGTGGCTACGCTAATGTTTCCCAGCGTCCCTGTTGCCCCCTCGTCCCACCACCTCACTCCCAGCCAGCGTTGGATTTACCCCGATTTTCTGTTTTCTGCATTAAAGCCCCTCCAGAGGTGGGCACTTCTGCTCCAGCTGGCCTGCAGAGTGTGGGAAGCCAGGCATGCGGAGCCGTTTCCAAGGCATTTCTCAAAATGCTGAAGTGGAGATAATCAATAGTTAATGGGGGGGGGAACGTAATGACAGTGAAGGATGACATTTCAACCTTGGGGGAAGGTGTAGCAGCACAGAACAGTGCTGCATGTATGCTGATGTGAGCCTGGAGCAGTTGTGAGTTCACAGCCGACCCTTAATGGTATATTAATGATTTCTTTTTTCAACCTGATGCAGGCAGGAATCAGGAGGGAGGGGCGCACTGTTTTTAGAGCGGGTTGCTATCACATCACGCCAAAAAGAAAAAGGCATATGCAGAGGTAAATAAATGAGGAAAATCTTGTTTCCCCCTTTTAGAAACAGAAGAGTTTGCAGTAAATTGGCAGGTCAGGCTGTCAGTCAGCGCCTGATGAAAAATCACTGCAATACTCCGGCAGGCCGGCGTTGCCTGGTAGCGTTTCACTATTTCTGCTGACTGGTGTCATCAAGAACTACTGTGTTGTTTTGTCTGATGTTATTCCTTAGCAATGTTTGTCCAGTCACGTCCCAGTGGGAGTCATTTTTATTCTTTGTCTAAACGTTTATGGTTATTTATTTTGACCTTTGAACCTGTTTACTCCAAATGATTCATAACAGGAAGCAATTATTTGATGAGAGTCTTCCAATAGGGTTTGTTGTTTTTTGACCTGAAAGAAAAATATTTTTGAGTCAAATAGTTTTGAGATGCTTAAAATTAGTTTTATTTTTCATTGCAGAAGCAGAAAAGACCTTTAGACTCTGGATGAAGCCAGAGTTTCCAGCCTGGTGAAAAACCACTTTCTCCCCTCAGATTTCCTCTGTTTTGTCTTTTGTTTTGATTGTTTCTCAGATCAATAGATAACTATAGCAAAAAGCAGTTTTTATCTATAAAACTAACCTGCTCCAACCTTAACGGCAACTACTGCCATCAAGCATTTCTGAATCTGTCTTTTTCATCACTTTAGATAAAATTGGACCCGTTCTCCTCTGCAGAATTATTTCAGTTCATCTTCACTGGCTTTCCCTTTTTAAACTTCTGCTCCCGCATCACAACCTGAGTGTCTGGACTTCGGTGGCCGACAGGTGCAGAAGCAGCGCTAACATTGAAATGAGCTACAAAGACATGAACGATGCTAAAACTAAAACACAAAAAACTGAAAAATGGAAATGAAAAATGCTGGAAAGAAGCTTGGAAGAAAATCCTGCAATCAACAAAACAAATGCATAAGAGAAATGATGCAACCACCTGAAATGGAAGTTAAAGAAAAAATGCCACAAATATCAAAAACAACAAGCATAAAAAAGCCCAGGAGTCTTCCAGGCCACCAGGGGGAGTCTGGAGTAGGTTTGCAACACATTTTGCTGTTTGCACATTTACACCTGTTGGCCATCATGCTGGACTTTGACTAGCCCATTCTGAAGCCTTCATTTTGTATTTGATCCATTCAGAGGTGAACTTGCTGCATGGACTCTTGGTTGTGCTTTTGTGTAACTGAAATTTGTCTGACTTTACAGCTGAAGGAGGCAAGTTTTATAAAAAATAAAAGTTTCACAGCAGAGGTAACAAAACTCTTCCCAGAATGTTTCCCTTTTGTCTCATCAGTCCATTGGATGTCTTCCCAAAGGTCCTGGGGATCAGCAGCTGGCATTTTACTGGGACACATGATCCAGTTCTGATCAGCTGCTTTCAGTGAAATGTCAGACTGGAGTTTTAACAAGCTGTCGCTGGGAGATAATTAGAAGTAATGGAAAGAGACACAGGCTTCTAGCTTCTTTGATAATTCCCAATATCAAGCTGTGCAGTGCACCTAGAAATATGGAGTGAACTGAGCTCAGGATGCAGTCGGCTGTCTCAGCAGGCAGCGCCCTGCGCAGCAGGAGCAGCAGGAGCAGCAGGAGCAGCAGGAGCAGCATGGAGGAGAAGCTGCGTCCGCTTGTCCAATCTGCCAGACTCGCATCTGAAGCTGCGAGTCTGAAAAAGAGGGCAGGAGAGAGCTGCATAATAACAATGACTTCTAAAGTAAACCCAGCTGCTGGTCATATTGGGACATGATTATAGATTATAGATAATGTAGAGTCTGGCTGCCGGTACTAATGGCTCTCTGACTATAATCATCCCAGGATATGGATAGAACAGTCCAGATAACTTTCCCCAGCAAGTAAAAACTCACAAATCCGATTTTATTTGAGGAGACTCAAGAGGAGTTGAGGAATGTTTCAAAAACAGAGCATGAAATGAGGAAAGACGGTTATGAAACTAACTCAGACAGTTTCTGTTTTCTCCTCATTCGCTGCAGCCGACTCCCCAAGGATCCACACAAACTGAAAACTGCTGGTAGGAATCGATGCTGATCACACCAGATAGTTACTAAATTATTTTTGGAGGAGAAAAGTAGAGTGAGGTGTCAGGAAGAGATGCCGTGGAAACTGAAAACATTTCAGTGACTTTTATCCAGTTTTGATCTTAAATCATTTGAAATAAATGTAACTAAATGATTTTTATGTTCTATGTGCTTTGGACAGATGAAACTAAGATTTCACTTTTCTGCAATAAACTCTCCAACCAAGAATGAAAACATAAAATCCTCTGCAGGGATTGCACCAGGGAAGCAGTTGCTTAGTGGTCAGCAAAAACATGAACCATAATATGACCAGTAGAGTTTTTATAAGTGTATTTTCTCTCTTTGTGAGACCTCTTGGCTTTACCCCCGTCTTTATAACATCACTTAATTTGGGTCAACTGGAACAATGACAACATTTACATCTGCATTAAGGAAAAGACGACGTGGCGTCTTACATGAATTTCAAATTAAGTGAAGTGATTGTTGGTATGAGAAGAGGTGTGAATATATAATACATACATCTGGGTGCATCAGTAATTGAGAGTGTAATTGAAAAGTCGATTCATTTAATTCAAAAAGTGAAACTCATATTCAGTAATAGATTCTCTGAGTGTAATTCTATTAGTTTGATGAATATGGCCGATATGGAATTTTAATTATAGGAGAATATTGATTAAAAAAACAAAACAAAACAGGGGGATATAAATATTTACAGCTGGGATGACAATAAGTGTGGCTCTGACTACAATAAATAGGAATATCTATTCCTCCCACATGCATTCAAAATGAAGATTTTGAGATTAATTTTCTGAATATTTCCATTTTAAATTAGAAGGAATTAACTGAACATCGCCTCGTTGCTCTTTTCACATCTCTTTCCGTTCCGTTTGGATTTATTCCCGGCTCTCTGGCCCACCAGCTGATCCACGTCTCTGCAAAAGCCCACAATTATCACAATTATCTGCATTTCCACAGCCCCCTTTCTGCGGCCTTTTGTCAGTTTGCACCAAATTACCCTTTGACCAGGCTGCGTCACGTGACGCTGCTCTCTAATTGCGGATAATTATGCAAAGCAGTTAATCTCAGCGGTGCATGAACCGCACTAATTGACCGCCTGCTCTCGCCCTCTTTCACTTGTCCCTGCGCCACCTAGCGGCCGCCCTCCGCGCCCATCCATTTAATAAATTATTTCCGCGCCGCGCCACCGTGAGAAATAAAGTGGCAGTGCGGGCTGTGCGGGGACATCAGTGGCTGTTTGGCAGCGCGGCGCATCGCGTTGCTCCCCCTCGCTGCGGTGATTAAAGTTGAGCCGCTGACCTGCGTGCTTCCTCCCGGGGAAACTGCGCGTTTAACGAGCGTCAGTTTCCATTTCTCCACTCCAGATCATTTGTTGCTGTCCGGGAGCTGAGCTTCAGCCCGGCGCACGGACGGATCCGGCTTCCAGGATCACAGGTACATTTGATTCGTTTGGATGCGTTCGGATGGATCCCGCTGGCTTTAAATCAACTTTTAGCTCTGCTTAGTGTTTTATTTTCATCGCAGTTTTTCTCTAATGTTGCCGTTTTTTCCACTTGCTGTGGATGTTATCTTGAAAAAGGCTAAATGAGCTTCATGCAAAGAGGATGTTGCACCTGTGGAGGCAGCAGCAGTGACTGAACTGTGTGTTATTCGCTAAATTAGGAGATTTCATCACTTCGGGATGCAGCATCCATTCAGCACAATGCAATAAATTCAGACTGTCCAGCCAAGCAGGTGGTTGCATCATAGTAAGGTCCACATAGTCTGTGCTTTCTGGCTTTTACTTGCATGCTTCTGTGATAACAACATTTTCAGCCTGTCCATCACTGTCAGACCTTCATCTCGCTCTCTCTCCATCTCCTTCATTCGTTTTCTGCCCGGGACTTTAGCTGCCAGGCGCTGTGCATGAGCAAATGTTCACCTTGCTGCACGGCTTTAATCCTGAGATTATGTGACAGCTCTGGAGGGGCTGTGGGCTTTTTTTGTTGTGGGATGTTTCGGCAAACTTTCACCCGATTTGGGTCATTCGCCACATTTCCAGTCAGAGGATAAAATTCAATTAGACAGCCCCGCAGCTTCCTGCATCCACTGGCAGATGGCTTAATACTAGTGGATTCTTCCTCCGCGTCCCTTAATGTTTTAATTGGGTTTCATCGTTTCACACTGTTTGTGCGCATTAAAAAAATTGATTTAAATCACTTTTTATACAACCCGAAATCAGTTTTGTTGCTTCCAAAGCAGCTATCCAAACATTTCACATCTAATCTGCAGTAAATTCCTTGAAATTGATGTAAAATCCCTCAGTAAACAGCTTTCTGGTTGCATTCTGCAGTGGATCTCATGTTGGCTGAGTGAAGTTGCAGTAAATGAACTGTGCGCCCTGCTGAGGGCAGATTTGTCTCTCCGAGTTAATTCCAGCCCTGCGGAGCTGCTTTTCCCTCTGAAGGACATCCTCTCTGTTCGGAGGGACAGCTGCTGGATTTTACTTTGAAAAGTTGACGGGATTTGATTACTCCAAGGAATACTTCCTGTCTGCGCGAGATTCTGCCAGTCAGACAAATCACTGTGGAAATGGTTTGTCTCTGTGGACAGAATCGTTTTGTTTCAGGTATATGCAGGGTCTGGCCACTTTATTAGGCACACCAGGTTGTTGCTCCTTTTATTTCTTCATTTTCTGAGGAAGTAAACTCCAAATAGAGACGGATGCATTCATGTTCTTCCTTCTCCACAAGCAGCAGCACACAGTGGCTGAATATTTGTCAGCTTCACTGTCATTGAAGCTGGAGGTGGATGGAGGCTACTGGAGTAAATCAGTTTCTTTTTTTTTTTACATGGAAGTAGCTAAAAGGAAATCTTTGTATTGGAGGTCATAAAGGACATGATCAGGATTAATACTAAGGTATTCTGTAAGAGACTCAAACCAAACCTCCACCAGCGTTGATGCAAGGCAGCGCGGTTACTGGAGCTCCACCAGTGGAACCAGTTTGTCTTTTCTGCTTTGACTTTTGGCATCAACAAAGTATTTTTATCCACACAACTAGGGCTGCAACTAACAATCACTTTAGTAATCGATTCATTTATCGACTTTTCTGACAATTAATCAGAATTCTGCTGATTTTTTTCAGCCTCTTCGATGCAAATACTTCAACTCTATATTTAAATAAGAAAATTAACATTTTCTTGCCTAAAATGCAACAAGGTGGCATTTCTTTAGTGAACGCTCGACCGTTTTCAGCAGAGGATGAATCTCCAGTTGCTGGTCAAACATCAACTTTCTGCTCAATTTAACATCAGTCCAGTAATAGGCTGATCTGGTGTCTATGTTTTTGGTTATCTGACTAATAATTAGGTTGCAAAACGTTATGAATAAGAAATATATTTTACAGGATTTGAACCAGGTGAAGCTCAAACAAAAGGTTTTTTTATCTTTAATGATAAATGTATATATTTGTTGTATGTTTTTCTTTGAGTAAATGATTTTTTTATAGTCTTTGCTCTTCAGCTAACTATTGAGTAAATACTAAATTACTAGACAATTATTTCAATAATCTGATTAATTGTTTCATCCTTCAGTCTAATGCCTCTCAGTAAACCTGAGAATAAATTTACTGCAGTTTTCCATCTGCCAATAACAACAATGCAACGTTGAAAGTCACAACTTTCTTCTCCATCCCAAAGCTCACATCTGTCCTTAGTCTTTGCACAAAGACTCCAGTTTGGGATTTGAACCCACAACCAGCTGCTCCACTGTTCACATAACTGTACATGTGTACCTAATGAAGTGGCCGGTTAGTTTATACGCAGATCAATCGACTGAAAAGTTATAAAGGAACAAAACACCAGAAAGCACAAAGCAAAACATCTGTACTTAAATTTTGTGATGTTGTCATTTTTAATAATGTGTAGATTAAGATTAGGAGAATAAATATGAACCGTTTTCTGTGCAGACTGCGTATCGGTGATAAAAAGCTTTGTGGGTCCAGTTTACATTCATTCATTTACACTCCAGTTTTCACAAAAGCAAAATGTGAGTTTTTTCAGCCAGAATTATAATTTCCACTCAGAACTGCTTCACTCTGTATGGCAGCTCCTCCAGACGTTAGAGATTAACTCACCGAATCCCCCTGATGACACAGGAATGATGCAGTGAGAGTTAAACTTTAATTTGGTCCTAAAAACGACAGGAAGGCATAAAAAGTCCTGGTCGCATTACGCAGCGTGTTGCTGTGCAGCTCAGCTCGTTAAAACTGGAGGCGGGTTTTGAGTCGCAGCATCTGTTGCAGGCCCTTTATGCTAGTTGAGCTAAATGTTTTCTATTCACATAACAATTATACATCCGAAAGTCTCTAGTTTAGAGGTTTCACTTCTAGTCTTGATGTCTATTGACATTTTAGACATTCAGTGGATTCCTACCGGTTCCCTGGTCCATTTTGGTTGTGAGCACATCTTAAATATTTGAAATTAGTTTGGGAAGCTGAAATATGAAGGCGAATTTCTACTTGCTCTTTCTGTCTCAGGTGTTTCTGGATTTCAGTTATTTGTGAGCAGATGTTATCCTTTATCTGCAGGAATACTGAAGGACAGAAATTAATTTTAATTTATTAGTCGATGAAATGCTCTCTGGATTCCAAGATGGATTCTCATTGGTCCTAATCAAGTTTAGGAAGATAATCTCATCCAATCAGACTTCAGAAGCTGCAGTCACTGCTAAAGTAAAGGCCATTGCTAACGGTAGTGCTTTTCTTCTGGTTATGAACTTGTGGCGATAATCTCAGCTGAATAAATTTAAAATTGATCCGTCGACGGCTCCATACATGATCACCTCTGTGAACAATGCGTTGCTGTGCGACGTCTACTTTCTTCTTCTGCGCATGTGGGCCGCTTTGGAGTCGTAAACCGTTCACACAGAAGACTGATTATTGCACATTTAATTAGCAAAATAAGAAAACGGTGGAGACTGGGAACTTCCCATTAGATGCTCCGGCCCAGTCGCCGTGACAGTTTATCTCTGGTCAAGTTTACTCACATTATTTCACTGTTTTCCTTCCTTCTCATCCACTAACAGGTGCAGTGATGAAGATTTGATCACTGTTAACTTCACCCATCAGTGATCATAAAGATAAGCCTCATCTTTGCAACCCAGCCATTATCCACCCAAATGCAGGAGTATTAGCCAAGACTAAAGTGTAATTAGGAATCCACAAATGGGTGGAAACATTTTATCTGGAGTGTGGAAAATTCCTGGAGATGAAAGCGACGCCTCAGTGCTTTTTGTTCCTATTTATAGCGTCACTGTGTCAGTGTAGGAGCGATCAACCTCGCTGGGAGAAACCTCCTGAGTGACATCAGAGATGAAAGCGGGAGGCAGGTCAGTGTTTACTCAGCTTGACCGCTGCCACTTGTGTCGGCCAGGCCTTGCCACTTCTCTTCATATGAATTACCAGCCAGAGCCGAACTCACAGGAAGATCTCAGGTTGTTTTGTCAAGACGCATCATCCAGACTCGCTCTGCTCCGTGATAAAAATGACGACGACTCGTGAGTCACACGTCTGCTGCGTTCCGGTCAGCGTCGCTGCAGGGCTGACCTGGTAGCCAGGTTCAGTCCCGCACGCTTGATTAAACTCTGCCGCGGCGCTGCGGGTGGTCAGGCGGGTTCTGGTCCGCAGCCCGGGCCTTGATGGGAGACTCTGGCCTTTGACAGAGGGATTTAGAAACGCCGTGGCTCCGGCTGAAGAACGCTCAGGCCCATGTTGGGTTCATTTGGGTTCTAGAAGCGCAGACATTTAAATGTCAGTGGTAAGTGGAAACATTGTCGGTTCTCTGAGATAATAGCAGAGCGACCGACAGCGTTTAAATGTGCAATGTTAATGGGGGAGAGCAGAATAACAGAATGCAATTTTGTGTATTGGAATATAATTATGATTTTCACCTGCTGCATGCAAAGATGTAATTCCAGCTTTTATTGTAGTGAGAAAAATGATGCTAATTATCCAGAGAGGGACAACGGAGGAGTGGCTGGTGATATAAAGAGGATGACACATTCTTCATGAAAGGTCAAATTCCTTCGAGATTTTAGTTTCAATGTGAGAATTGAGTATTTAACAAACTGTTCTCATTCATGGAAGGCTTGGAGAAGAAGCAGCTGTAAAATACATTTCTTCTTTGCTTATTCCAATTGAGTCACAGCAAAAACACAAAATCTTACCAAGGATTTTTGGTTTCTAGAATAAATACTTGAAATAAGACTAAACTATCACTAAAATATAGACGCCAATACTGGAAAAATGTCTTGTTATAAGTGAAATAATCTACTAATGGAACTGGAATATTATGGGATTATTGACTGAAATCAAACTCCTGCTTTGCTAAAACGATACGTGTAACATAGTTTTGTCTTATTGCAACTATAATAACGTATATGCACGAGAAATTAG